CCAAGGACTGGCTTCTTCTCTCCTTTATTTATTAGTGTGGTTTATGTTAATAGTCATGCAGAGCCGCTGGGTAGGGGAGTGGGTTGTGAGAACAGGTGGGAAAGGCTCAGTGGAGTGGGGTAGAGACAGAGTGAAAACGGGCCCTCAGGAGTGGTTCAGCCTAGAGGGTTAACTTGAATAACACTTGCTCATTCTGCGACAAACTCCTTAGCCTGGATGCCAAGGTCTGCAGGCCCTCCCTGTCTCCCTGACCTCCTCTCCTCCATCACCCCCTCAGTCTCAGCACCCCATCCCTGTGCTCTTCCAACATGCCCAGCCTTTCCTACCCCAGGGCCTTTGCACACACTTCGACTGTAATGTCACTTCCCCAGATCTCTCTGAATGATGCTCTGCCTTTGCAAACTTGCCCAGGCTCCTGTGGCCCAGCCGTTGTTCAGAGTTGGAAATGAACCTCCCTCCAGTACGCTGGGCTGGCCTCAGTATCCCTGACTGGAGAACATACCCCTCATGGGGCTGGGCGTATACAGCCAATGAGAAGTCAAAGGGACTCCTCAAGAATCTATTTACTGGCCGGATGCAGTGGCTGACGCCTGTAATCCCAGCACTTTGGAGGCCAAGGCGGGCAGATCACTTGAGGTCAGGAGTTTGAGACCAGCCTGGCCAACATGGTGAAACCCTGTCTCTACTAAAAATACCAAAATTACCCAGGCATGGCAGGGGCCTGTAATCCCAGCTACTCAGGAGGCTGAGGCAGGAGAATCACTTGAACCTGGGAGAAGGAGGTTGCAGTAACCCGAGATCACGTCACTGCACTCCAGCTGAGCGATACAGCAAGGCTCCATCTCAAAAAAATAAAAATAAATAAAATAACCATTTACTTGGGGATCTGGGAGAATAAAAGTAATAGAATTGGCCAATCATTAAAAACTTATGTGCATTAAAACAAATTCATTAATAGAATAGAAAGCAAAAGTTGCTTGAGTTAAAAAACCATGAGGCATGAAAGAATTGAGGGAAAGGGGGTGGCTGGTGCCCACGTAGATGGGCAGGGGTGCTTCACCACTGGCATCTGCTCTTACAGGGTCCAGATGTGCACAGCTCTCTCCTTCCCATCCTGCAGTGCTCTGCTAAAGGGGTCCATCACCCGGGAACCCCTCTCTCACTCCCATCACTTTCCCCACCTTTATTCTCAGCTGGTTGTCATCCTCTGCCTAACGCTTAGGCTGCTTTATCTTAGGAAGCTTTATCTCCACCTGACGTTAGAGTCTGTATCTGTTTGTCTATCTTACATACACGAGTGTAATCACTATGAGGGCAAAGACTGGGCTCGTCTTGTTCTCTGCCATGCCTCCAGCCCCAAGAACAGTGCCTAACAATAAGGAAGTGCTCAGTAAATATTTGATCAGGCCGGGCATGGTGGGTCACACGTGTAATCCCAGCACTTTGGAAGGCGGAGGCGGGCAGATCATGAGGTCAGAAGTTCAAGACCAGCCTGGCCAACTTAGTAAAACCCTGTCTCTATTAAAAATACAAAAAAAAAAAAAAAAAAAATTAGCCAGGTGTGGTGGCAGCTGCCTGTAATCCCAGCTACTTAGGAAGCTGAGGTAAGGAGAATTGCTTGAACCCAGGAGGTGGAGGTTGCAGTGAGCCAATATCGCACCACTGCACTTCAGCCCGCGCGATAGTGCAAGACTCCATCTCAAAAATAAAAGAAAAAACATACGATCAATAAAGGAATAAAAATGCCAGCATATTCCACACATCTCCTACCCATCCCCTGACACTTTTTCCCTTTCTTCTGGACTCTGTAATCCTTCTCAAAGGAAGTAAAAGATAGTCCTGGGTTTATCTGGACTTGACCTGATCAAAGAAAAAAAAATGTATTTCTCTTCAATCTCGTGAAAATGAACAGCACAGGCTTAGAACACCAAGGTCTTAATGTGAGCACACAGAACCTGCTGGCTGAATTCTAAGAAATGAGCCCTGGCCTGCCATCAGGCATAGGCTGTGGGGCTGATGACTTCACATGTGACTCAATTACCCCAAATTTTAGGAGGCATCGGTTTCAAAATCAAAATCTCGACATGAAAAGTGGAGGGTGGCTTTGTTTGGGCATTCCTGCAAGGAAGTAGGCTTTCTGGAAAGATGCTATGTTGTAGATAACTCACCCACAAAACGGGGCAGGCGGGATGGGGAGGAACCCCAGGATTGGGCGTATTTCTCAACTAAGGCTTTGGATGCAAACTGATCTGGGAATGCGTGATCCTCCAAAAATCCACCAGCCCCCAAACTGCTCGAGTTACCACTCCAACCACAGCCACATGGAGAATGAAATTAAATCCCACGGAAAGATTTGACTTTTTTAACATTATGCAATGTTTGGGTGAAAAAAGGGGGGTGGGGGAGGGATATCAGAAAAAAAAACCCATCTTTTTCCCAGAGTTTAGCAGAGCTATTTCTAGCTTTTAATGATACATTTCACCATCACTTCATGGGTAGTTTTGAGATGCACGAAGGCGGGACCCGTTCTGTTATGTAACCCATTTAAAGTAGGAAATTAGCAAGTCCTGAATGAATTCTGTCACTGTGCTCCCACTTCTGGAAAATTTGGAGCAACTACAGTTCTATTTTGAGGTGAGCAAATCCATCATTTATAGACCTCCTCACAAATACCACAGGGCTTCATGTCACCCTGAAAAGTTTCATAACAAAAACACTTAAAGTACTTGGGGTGTTGGAACATTTCGTCTCAAAACCTTATTAGCCTGAACAGTGAATTGGCAAAGCTTCCCACTTGCCAATTATTCAAAAATGCAAATATCCCAGAGCAAATAAATATTCATCTCTCACACTCTCCCCCGCCCCTTTTTTTTTTTTTTTTAACTAAGTCCAGCAAAATATTCTGGTCAACAACATGAAAAGAAATGTCTGTTTTTCACGGAGCCTCTGGCCATGAAACAAATTCTGAAGCTATGAAAGCACCGTCTTGAACCTCAGGGCAGCTGGGCACGTGGGGTCCGGCTGGTTGTGGAAAACAGGAAACAGAAATCTCTTTCAGTCCTCAAGCTCCCCCTAGCGGCTCCAGCGGGGAAGTGTCTGCACGTGGATGCAATTTCACTGCAGGCAAAGGCAGAGGCCTAAAGTCGCACAGGGCTAGCGCACGTTTAAGGAAAAGCATGTCGGCCTCCACCTTTGGGAGCACGTGCCTTCCTTCTCCCCAGGGGGGAGCCTCTGTCATGAGAAAACACAACAAAGTTACAATTATCTTTCTAATCCTTACACCGAGGATGGCACTTTCCACTGAGAAGCAAAAAGAGGGAAGCAGCAGTTCACCCTGCAGAGAGCTACTAAGGATACCATTTGGCCGGACGGAGGTATAAGGTGCTTCCTGAGACACATGAGCTTATACCTCTAGGCCTTTTCACAAATACAGACAAATGGTACAGCTGACATGTGCTGATTAAATTAGGATTTCTCCAGCCAGGCTCAGTGGCTCATGCCTGTAATCCGAACACTTTGGGAGGCTGAGGTGGGCAGATCGCCTGAGGTCAGGAGTTCAAGACCAGCCTGGCCAATATGGTGAAACCCTATCTCTACTAAAAACACAAAAATTAGCCAGGCGTGGTGGGGGGCGGGGGGAGGCCTGTGATCCCAGCTACTTGGGAGGCTGAGGCAGGAGAATCGCCTGAACCTGGGAGGCAGAGGTTGCGGTGAGCTGAGATGGCACCACTGTACTCCAGCCTGGGTAACAGAGGAAGACTCTGACTCAAAAAAAAAAATTAGGGTTTCTCAATGTTGGCACTTTTGACACTTTGGGCCCTGCTGTGGAAGCCACCCCATGAATCATGGGTGTTCAGCAGCAGCCCATGCCTGGAACACTCCTCCCCCCCCACCCCCCCAAGCTGTAACAACTGAAAAGGTCTTCAGATGCTGCCACACCTCCCCCGAGGGACAAAAATCACCTGACTGAACTCACTGGATTTCAACCACTTCCTACACAACAGCCTAAAATAATTTGTTTGTTTGTTTGTTTGTTTGAGATGGGGTCTTGCTGTGTCACCCAAAGTGCAATGGCACAAACGTGACTCACTACAGCCTCCACCTCCAAGGCTCAGGTGATCCTTCTGCCTCAGCCTCCCAAGTTCCTGGAGCCACAGGCTTTAGCCAGTACATGCAGCTAGTTTTCTTGTATTTTTTGTATACGGGTCTCGCCATGTTACCCAGGCTGGTCTTAAACTCCGGGGCTCAAGCAATCCTCCTGCCTTAGTCTCCCAAAGCTGGGATTACAGGCGTGAGCCACTGTGCCCAGCCTTAAAAAGGTTTTTTGCCAGCCGGGCACAGTGGCTCACACCTATAACCCCAGCACTTTGGGAGGCCGAGGCGGGTGGATCACGAGGTCAAGAGATCGAGACCATCCTGGTCAACATGGTGAAACCCCATCGCTACTAAAAATATAAAAATTAGCTGGGCATGGTGGCGCGTGCCTGTAATCCCAGCTACTCAGGAGGCTGAGGCAGGAGAACTGACTGAACCCAGGAGGCGGAGGTTGCGGTGAGCCGAGATCGCGCCATTGCACTCCAGCCTGGGTAACAAGGGCGAAACTCCGGCTCAAAAAAAAAAAAGTTTTTTGCCTAAAACTTAACTGACTCTTCCTAAATGTTCCATCCCTTGATTTTAAAAAATCCCAAAGATTCCAAAGTCATGAAGGACCGTGTATATAAATACAATATGGAGCTTATGGTTTTCATCTTTTTCTATTTACATCCATCACCTTTTGAAATTCTGACATGTCTGGGATGGACAATAGTACAGAATAATAAACAACATGCAATGACTTTTTTTTTTTTTTGCAAAAACCAAAATAATTTTTTGAACCGGAGTTTTTTTTAAACATTTCATGTACCGTGAAATACAGAGAAAATAGGAGCATAATAATAAAAGTCCTCGTTTTGACACCAGAATGCATGTTTCCATACAAATTAAAATAATCCCTCAAGGCAGAACGTACACAAGCTTTATTGGGCAACAGCAACGGGCCACGCTGGCAAACAATGAAAGCAGAGTCGCTCGGAAACACGGAGGATCACGTGTGTCATCACAGCATCGAGAATTTAAATCATCTGGAAGTTCCTGCTAAATTAAAGCAGACTGTGCCAGAGCTCGCCGCTAATCAAAACACGCCGTCCCAGTGAAAATGTGCAGTGAGGATTACACAGAGAGAGCAACTCATGAGGAGCCACAGACTCTTACACGAGCTTACAGTAAGCCCCCGCAACAAAATCATCAATGAGCCACAATTTGTTTCTTGCAAATGCCACGCCCCCCACCTGATCCCAGAAACACGAGAGTCACTGACATCGCCCAGCTATACTGACAGACTGCGCTTCAGACCATGCTGTGGCAGAGAAGGCAGAGCCACGGGTCACGCCACTTTGGCCTGAGAAGGTGCTTCAGAGCATCAGGTCAGGGCTGGCTGGTCACGCTGCAGGATGCTTTGCAGTTCCATTCAAAAACATCATATATTTTTTTCCATGAAGAACTGGACATAATTCATGGGAATATTTTAAGTATATATAAACAGCAAAAAAAAGCTATACATTAAAAGAAGGGGAAGAAATAAAATCTGTTGTATTTACAAAGCTCCTTGTATATTTTTAAAATGAAAACAAAGCTGGGAGTGATAGAATTTTAATGCAATGAAAACCAATATTTCTTTAAAAACCTTTAGATCATTCTCTCTCTTACACACACACACACACACACCATACACACACTTCAAACGTACAGAAAAGGTTAAAGACAAAAATAGCTGATAGGTGTTTGCTTTAAGTAGGATGGAACAGAAGAATGCGTATGTCCCATTTGCAATTTTGGCAAAGGTTTAAAATGCTGGCCTAAAGGCACGCACGCATGCCCAACCCACCCCAGTAAAAACAAGACAAAGTATAAAAAGAAAAGTCTGGTGGGGGCTAGGGGAGGCATTAACATATCAGTTTCCAATGAGCACAAAATTCAAACTACATTCACAAGTAACACAGCCTACATTTTCAGCAGAGAAAAATCGGAGGAAATGTTCATAAAGAGACAACGGTTTTTAAGATTACCATCACACACAAAACAGGTTTCATTTCACTCCAGGGGAGCGTAACTGGGATGGGAATGTTACAGTGCTGCCAGGACTGGGAGAAATCCCAGCACGTGGCCTCTTGGCCCCAGGGGCTAGAAATGGGAGGTCTACTCAAACTTTATGATGCTCCCTGGAATGCCCTCCCAGCAGTCAAGTTAGTGCCGCCACCTCACCTGGTGTCACAGTAACACATATGTGCACACACGGGCTTTCAAAATGAGGATGGAAGCTGTCCCATCTAAGAAATTACTCAAGATGGAGAAACTCGTCTGGCGATTTTCTTTTTTTTTTTTTTTGAGATGAAGTCTCACTCTGTCTCCCAGACAGAGCAAGAAATTGGAGTGCAATGGCACGATCTCAGCTCACTGCAACCTCTGCCTCCCGGGTTCAAGTGATTCTCCTGCCTCAGCCTCCCGAGTAGCTGGCATTACAGGTATGCACCACTACAGCCAGCTAATTTTTTGTATTTTTAGTAGAGATGGAGTTTCACCATGTTGGCCAGTCGGTTCTCAAACTCCTGACCTCATGATTCGCCCACCTTGGTCTCCTAAAGTGCTGGGATTACAGGCGTGAGCCACCTAGCCCAGCCCTGGTGATTTTCTTAGAGAAAAGAGAGAAAAAAGGAAGGAGGGAGGGAAAAAAGAAACCAAACAGATCCTGCTGCCCCCATCACACAACCATCACCACAAGACGTATGAACAATAATAAAATAGTAATAGAAGGTCTTACTCTGGCAGAAATAGCTACTGTGGTCAGAGGGCGTAGGGAGCTGTGAGTTTTGCTTTCAGGAAAACTGTTCAAACAGTGCTGTGTGCCTCGAGGCCCTCTGACCTCAAATTAAATTGGCTGTCAGAGACAGAAGGCCCACGGAGCTCCCAGGTGAGGGTGTCAATGGTGCTTTATGTAGGTTCTTTCCAGATTGATGAACCAAGAAAAAGGCTAACTGAATCCTTATACTTAAGCTTAAAACCTCAGGAGAGCCTCTTGTACAGTATCTCTATTTCTTGTTTGCTTCTTTCTTTGCCTTCCCCACCACAATGAGATTACCTCCTAGAAGTCACCGAGCGCCCTGGTGTTCTCTGCTGGGCTCACGGTCTGATCTGTGCAGGTAAAGACCGTGTACTCTCACCGGACCGAACACTCCTGGCTGTGTCTCCGGTGTTTGAGAAGCGCGGCGTGCGCATTCCTAGATGTGTGGGGACCCTCCGGTGAATGGCATCAGCTGGCTGCCCACTGATGGGACGGGCCCACAACGCAGTAGCCTGCACTTGAGTTTTGGTCCTTTTCACCCTTGACTGCCTCTGCCCCAGTGCGGCTGAGACAACAGAACAGAAAGGTTTGTGAAGAACACAGACGAGTACCTTCCACTTCCGGGTGTGGCTCCTTCAGCCCCTCCCGGAAGCATTCTCCCGTGAAGATGTCAAGTGGTATCTCAAGTGTTGACTTGAAAAGTCAACTTGTGCACCTCGATCAAAATTGAGAATTAAGGAAAAGACCAGAGAGACCATCTTCATTCAGCTTCTGCTGGAAATCTCACACTTCCCGACAAGGCTCCCACACCCACTGCCTGCAGGACCCAGCATCTTTCATCTCTGAACAAAGCCAGGTTCAGGGTTTGCAAACTCTACACGGAACTATCTGAAGACTTCCCAGTGCTACAGACTGACTTCCAGGAAAACAGAGACTCAAAAACTTTCAGCGCAACTTTCTCCTCCTCAACCTTTGAAACCACACAAATTCACTCAATGAAGAAGTCAGATTTGCTCCGTCTTTCTGAAATTTTTGGACAAAGATCCTATCCTTAACTATTCACTCATTATATCCTTTCTGCAAAGCTTTTCCCTTGGCAGATGTGACTCAATCAGACAGGGAAAAATACTGTGAAACTGCAGAACTCTAAGACGAAATACAAGTTGTATCAACAGCCAATTTATCAGTGCCTGCAACGTGAGGTCATTCTAGAACGTTTTAAAAGGACAACACAAAATACAAAAGCTTATCAAGAGCGCTCCAAAGGCAAGGGACGATCTGATCCTTGTGTCTCTAGTTCTCCAAGAGCAGGAGTTAGTAGGCATCAGAAACCAGGCTGTAATGTACATCTCTGAAGCACAGAGAAGTTGCACCCGGTGGAGGGTTTGAAGGTATGTACTCATCAAGAAGTAAATGCAAATCCAAGATCTCAACCACACTTGGCTCCTGAAGACCCACCAACTTAACCCTCATGGCATGCAGATGTGGCTTCTGCAAGAAGTGACTTGAAAACCCAAGAATGCCTTGCTCTGCCACAGCCAACGATCACAAACTCCCTTCTTCCTCCGAAACAAGAAGCCACAGCTTTATAAGAAACATGCGTGCATGGAGTCCATCCTGGTAGGGAAGGAATCTTGACGACTGGCTGCCTTTCAGCAAGCTCCCCTTGAAATCCAGGTCCCAGAGCCGCAGCCTGGGCCTCCTCCCACCAGAGGTTCCTTGCTTTGAAAGCTGCCACCGACGAAAGGCAGCCTGGCAGGATGGCTCTGGCTTTGTGAGGTCATCCTCACTAATGCCTCCTACAGGAAACAGGCTTCTGTGGGAGAGAAGAGTCCCCGCTCCTGACCTTTCCGCTTTGGCCTTAGAGGATCTGAGTCACAGCTGCCATGTTGTCTAAGGAATTAGTTGAGTCTCTTATCACACTGTCGACACATTTAGGGGCCGTTCAGTGGCACGTTTCCTGCTAAAACAACTCTGCTGAAAATGTCGGAGGTCGTTCTCAGCCAGCCACTGGCTTTGTAATTGTTACCAGGTCCCAACAAAGTGGGATCGCACCTCTGACATTCTTTGACGAGGTGGCAGGTGAAGTTAACTCATGCACTATGGATGCTGAATCAGATCAAGGACAACAGACTGGATTTACGACACTCTCTCTCCCTCTCCTCCCAGTCACTGGTTACGATCCCAGGAATCCGGTGTAACCTGGATAAGCTCGGCTACCTGGAGAGGATACTGAGCATTTCTCAATGGAAATTATTGTGTGGATAACTTTTTACCAGATGTCACTGTCTCTTCCTCCCAAACCTACACCAAGAGCTTTCTATTCTTCTGACACCTCTTTTTAAAAGCAAGAAAGACTTAAAGAATACATACACGTTAGGACTTAAAAAAATAAAACGTAAACAAAAAACAAGCCTTCTACAACCTCTGGCTGGACAGAAACTTTTATCACGTGACAACAAAATTCAAGTTGTAAGGAAGCTCACACAGTAACCCATATACATCTCCCAGCTGAGCCACCAGCTTTAACATATTCACATTCACTCAAACATGAAGAATGAGGGGTTCAAACAGGCCCAGATGGGTCTCTCTTTAGGACCTCCCTCCTGCTGATGCAGCGGGACTCCGTTTAGGCACAGAGCCTCTTCCCATCAAAACTGCACGTGTTAGCAATTACTGCAAAATCCACAGGTGGCGATTAACATCCATGGAACTTGAGCTCTGTCCATCAGGGAAGCGCCAAGACCAGGGCCCCCTCCAGAGAGTGCGTGGCCTACGACGTGAGCTTTGAGTAGCTGGGGGGAGAGAACCGTCTTCTCAGGTACTTGAGGACATAGAGGGGCAGGCAGCTGACCAGAGTGATGACGGAGACTTTCCACAAGAATGACAAGGTGGCAATGAAGTACACATCTGCAAGCAAATGGGAAGACAGTGGTGAGCAGGCAGGAATACTCTGGAAAGTGCATATGGTCCAGAAAGAGGCCTCACAGCTCTCAAAGGGAAAGTCCTCTCCTGTCACAAACCCACAGCCTCCTGGCAATGGCCCTCTCCCTCCAGGGACTCTAAGGGAAGGCACCATGGCTAAGAGCACACGGCGCCATCAGCTTGATTCTCACTCTCTCTTCTGTAGCTTCCCGATAGTGAAATGCTAGTTTCAACAGGGAAAGAAAACTACAGGGCCCACCAGCTGCAGTGGCTCATGCCTTAATCCCAGCACTTTGGGAAGCCAAGGCGGGCAGATGACTTGAGCCCAGGAGTTTGAGACCAGCCTGGGCAACACCGCAAAACCCCATCTGTACAAAAAGTACAAAAATTAGCCAGGCATGGTAGTGCATGCCTATAGTCCCAGCTACTTGGGAGGCTGAAGTAGGAGGATCATTTGAGCCTGGGAGGTGGAGGCTGCAGTGAGCCAAGAACATACCCCTGCATTCTAGCCTGGGCAACAGAGTAAGACACTGTCTCAAAAAAGAGAAAAAAAGAAGGATAGAGCCCGGGTGTGGTGGCTCATGTCTGTAATCTCAGTACTTTGGGGAGGCCGAGGCACGGGGATCACGAGGTCAGGAGTTCAAGACCAGCCTGACCAACATGGTAAACCCCATCTCTACTAAAAATACAAAAATTAGCCAGGTGTGGTGGTGTGCACCTGTAATGCCAGCTACTCAGGAGGCTGAGGCAGGATGCTTTAATCTGGGAGTCGGAGGTGGCAGTGACTGGAGATCACGCCACTGCACTCCAGCCTAGGCGACAGAGCAAGACTCCATCTCAAAAAAGAAAAGCAGCAAAGAAAATTGCAGGGGAAGAAAACTCACGAGATGCTTTTGATTTGGTGTTGTCTGACAGCTGGAGAGTCTTTCTTTCTAAGCCCCAGCCACTGGCAAGTGGAAAGTGACATTCAAATGCACCTTCTGCTTTCAGCAACTTCTTCCCTTCATCCCAGCGATGGTCACAGAAAACCATAGGGATGAATCTGGGTCATGGTGCAAAGTGGGCTGAGACCACCCTTGTCAGGTCCAGGCTTAGGCTGACCCTCAGGGGCTCTGATGGAAGGTGGAGCCAGGGGTGCTGCCTTTCCAGCTGCAGGACTGTAAACTCGGTTATGAGGCTTCCTCAATAGACGAGTGACAGTTTGTGGCTTTCAATATAGCAGAAGCTGAAGCAACCCCTTCCCCACTTTTCTGAGCACAGGATACTGAAATGCAGCTGGCACTGAGAGAGCACCTACTATGTGCTGGGCCCAAGGCTCAGCCCACCCTGGGGTTTTTCTGCACCTCTCCCCCGGCCCTGTCATGTGTCCACATCAAAAACAAGCTGAGCTTCCTGAGCAGGGGCTACATCTCTGTGACCCCTCAGGGCCAAGCCCATGAGCACACAGTAGGTCTCACAAAACGCTTTCTAGAGACTAGTGACAAGGGTGAAACTGCTTTCAAACTCCACTTTTCACAGGGATGGTCCTTTAGTTCCTAGAGCGCATAGTAGAAGCTCACAAATCCTTTCTAGAGACTGGTGATGCCACCATGAAACTGTTTTAAAACTACTTTTCACAGGGCTGTTTGTTTTAAGTTTACTAAAATCTTCCTAAGGAGCTTTGGAAGCTGGTAAAGGAGCCATGATCAAAGATGCTTCCAGGGTCGAGTTTCTCTGCTTTTTCTCGTTATTGCCCCTTAAGAAACCATTTTTTTTTTTTTTTTTTTTTTTTTTGAGACGGAGTTTCACTCTTGTTACCCAGGCTGGAGTGCAATGGTGCAATCTCACCGCAACCTCCACCTCCTGGGTTCAGGCAATTCTCCTGCCTCAGTCTCCTGAGTAGCTGGGATTACAGGCTACTCATTACAGGCCATTATGCCCAGCTAATTTTTTATATTTTTAGTAGAGACGAGGTTTCACCATGTTGACCAAAATGGTCTCAATGTCTTGCCCTCATGATCCACCCGCCTCGGCCTCCCAAAGTGCTGGGATTACAGGCATGAGCCACCAAAGAAACCTTTTTAGACTTCTCTTCTTTTTGTTTTGTTTTTTTTTTTGAGACAGAGTCTCACTCTGTCACCCAGGCTGGAATGCATTGGCACAATCTCAGCTCACCGCAACCTCTGCCTCCCAGGTTCAAGTGATTCTCCTGCCTCAGCCTCCCGAGTAACCAGGATTACAGGCATGAGCCACCACGCCCAGCCTCCATAACATTTTTTATGTGTGGTGTGCCTGGGTCTCTAGCGCCTCACCCTGTGTATCTCTCTTGGTAACTTTGATCACATCTGATACTCCTGTGCTCAGACTCACTTATGTGTGTTTACATATGTTCCCAACAAGAAGGGCAGCTCCACGGTGAGCCCATCCACCTCATCTGCCACCATAATCCTGGATGCGGCAGGTGCTCCCAGGTCTATGGAACTGACGAGTACCTTCGGTACCTGCTTTGCTGTGCTGAGCAGCAGATTTTATTCCAAGACCCGTGGAGTCCCTTAGGAGCTCTATCAGGACACAGCAGCAAGGCAGGGCTGCACGGCAAGGTCTGGGGCTCGGCACCTCCAGAACTGCCACTGTGCCATCACAAGGCCCCATTACCAATGTTACGGATTGGACTTCAGACCAAGATTTCCTGAGAACAACAAGGTTTTGTGGCTCCAAAAAGATGATAGAGTGAGACTCTGTCTCAAAAAAAAAAGAAGTCTGAAAAGTCATCAGCTAAGAGGACACTGCTGTGTCCTCAGATTTTCTTGGATTTGAGGAAGCCTGCTGGATTGTCATTTACATGAAAGTGAGACCTGGGTGCTCAACTTTCCCCCAGCTCAGCTGGGCCCCGTGCAGCAGCTGACCCCGTGGAGAAACCCAGTTAACTCCTACCTGCCAAGTTAAACAGACTTTCTTTCTTTCTTTTTTTTTTTTTTTTGAGAAAGAGTCTTGCTCTGTCGCCCAGGTTCGAGTGCAGTGGCATGATCTCGGCTCACTGCAACCTCCGCCTCCCGAGTTCAAGTGATTGTCCTACCTCAGCCTCCCAAGTAGCTGAGATTACAGATGTGTGCCACCGCGCCTGTCTAATTTTTGTATTTTTAGTAGAGACGGGGTTTCCTCCATGTTGGCCAGGCTGGTCTCAAACTCCCAACCTCAGGTGATCCACCGATGTCAGCCTCCCAAAGTGCAGGGATTACAGGTATGAGCCATTACGCCTGGCCAATGGATTCCCTTTCTAATCTAGTTAGCTCTGTGTGGTTTAAAAAAGAAAAACATGGCTAGGTATGCTGTTGGGCACCTGTGGTCCCAGCTACTCGGGAGGCTGAGGCAGGAGAATCTTTTGAACCCGGGAGGCAGAGATTGCAGTGAGCCAAGATCATGCCACTGCACTCCGGCCTGGGCAACAAGAGCAAGACTCTGTCTCACAAAAAGAAAAAAAAGAACAAGCTAAAAAAGAAAAATACTCTAAAGCAATCCTGCCCTCTGTCCTCAATTTCACACCCTGAAGCACAACTACTGCCTGTCTTTAGGGAACACCAGTAAGAAAATGCAGACAGCTGAGCGGGAGGGACTGCTGGAGGCATAGCCCCGGCTGGAGTGCTGGGAGACCCCTTCCCTCACAGGGCAGCAAGATATCTTGGCCTGATTCATTGGGAGTGACAGACAGGGTTTAAGCATTCGGGGGTCTTACCGATGAACTCGTGTAAGAATACCAGGGAGGCGATGTAGCAGGCCAGGCTGAGCAGCTCGGCCACTGTCATGAGCCAGTGCCAGGTCTGGATGGTCAGCGCCACCATAAGCAGCTCGGTGAGGATCAGCGAGGTGAAGGAGATGGCCACGATGTGCACGAACTCCGACTCAAACAGCAGCAGCGCCCCGTACATGATGGTGCTCCCTGCAAACACCAGAGAAGGCTGTTCCCCTCGCCCTCCCTGCAAAAGCCTCGCTCTGCTCACTCACACACGGCCCCTTGGCACCGTTTTCATTAGACATGAAAGGTATCACTTGTTACATGAGGTTAATGACTGGTGCTGTATGGAGGTCTGAACCTATAGTTTTCCATATTTTCCTCTTTGGCCTTGTAGGATAAATAGTCTATAATTACAGAGTAAGAAAAGGGAGAAAAAAGGAAGCCAGGCAGGGAGGGAAACAATACCTCTCTAGAGTTGATGGAAGAAACAGAAACTTAAGTATAATATTTAAAATGATGAAGCCGCAGCCACGCATGATGGCTCATGCCTGGGATCCCAGCATTTTGGGAGGCCAAGGTGGGAGGATTGCTTGAGCTCAGGAGTTCGAGAACAACTTGGGCAACACAATGAAATCCCATCTCTACAAAAAATGCAAAAATTAGCCAGGTGTGGTGGTGTGTGCCTGTAGTCCCAGCTACTCAGGATGCTGAGGTGAGAGGATCACTTGAGCCTGGGAGGTACCGGTTGCAGTGAGCTGAGATTGCAGCACTGCACTCCAGCCTGGGTGACAAAGTGAGATCCTGTCAAAAAAAAAAAAAAAGTAAAAATAAAATGATGCAGTGACTCACACCTGTAATCAGCACTTTGGGAGGCCAAGGCAGGAGGATCACTTGAGGCCAGGAGTTCAAGACCAGGCTGGCCATCACGGCAAAACCCCATCTCTACTAAAAATACAAAAATTAGCTGAGCATAGAAGCACATGCCTGCAGTCCCAGCTACTCGGGAGGCTGAGGCATGAGAATTGCTTGAACCCAGGAAACAGAAGTTGCAGTGAGCTGAGATCATGCCACTGCACTCCAGCCTGGGTGACAGAGCAAGACTCTGCCTCAAAAAAAAAAATAAAATAAAATAAATCCCAACAGGTGACATGAACAGTAAATTTATTTTTTAAAATAAGAAACCCCAAAGACACATGTCCATTTGCAAGTTAAACATGTATACCTGTCCAGATATATAGAGACAGCAGGACCATTTCAAATATATGCACCGTAAAACACAGAAATGGAAATACTCAAAAAGAGGGTTCTGGGCACAGTAGCTTATGCCTGTTATCCTAACACTTTGCAAGGCTGAGGCAAGAGAATTGTTTGAGTCCAGGAGTTCAAGATCAGCCTGGGCAACATGGCAAGACCTCATCTCTATAAAAAATACAAAAATTAGCCAGGTGTTGTGGTGGACACCTGTAGTCCCAGGTTTATAATGCTGAACTAGAAACAGGTTTCTAGACAGGAACTAAAGCCCGTGTCAGCACCCGATGGGGTCCACAGCAGAGCACAGGGGCATCTTGCTGGCCCTTCAGGGATTCGTGGCTCACAATCAATTGGGAAGAAATGAACTGACTTGGAACTGATTTGGGGATGGTGCGCACCTCTAGTCCTAGACTCAGAAGGCTGAGGTGAGAGGATCACCTGAGCCTGGGGAGGTCGAAGCTACAGAGAGCTGTGATTGCTCCACTGCATGCCAGCCTGGGCAACAGAGTGAGATCCTCTGCCACCTAGGGTCTCACTCTGTTTCTACATACATACATACATATTCCATATTATATATAATGCATATATTATATGTTATATATATAATATATAAAATATATATTATGTTATATATATAATAAAATATATATTATATATATGCATATATTATACATTATACATATATATGTATATGAAATCTATTATGTGCATTACAAAACATACATAAAAACAGAAATACTGGCCAGGTGCAGTGGCTCACACCTGTAATCCCAGCACTTTGGAAGGCTGAGGTGGGCGGATCACCTGAAGTCAGGAGTTCAAGACCAGTCTGGCCAATGTGGTGAAACCCCATCTCTGCTAAAAAAAAAATAATTAGCCGGGCGTGGTGGTGAGCATCGATAATCCCAGCTAATTGGGAGGCTGAGGCAGGAGAATCACTTGAACCCAGGAGGTGGAGGCTGTAGTGAGCCGAGATGGCTCACTGCACTCCAGCCTGGGTAACAAGAGCAAAACTCCATCTCAAAAAAAAAGAGGAGGCCGGGCACGTTGGTTCATGCCTATAATCCCAGCACTTTGGGAGGCCGAGGCGGGTGGATCACGAGGTCAAGAGATCGAGACTATCCTGGTCAACAAGGTGAAACCCCGTCTCTACTAAAAATACAAAAATTAGCTGGACGTGGTGGTGAGCTCCTGTAGTCCCAGCTACTCAGGAGGCTGAGGCAGGAGAAATGCTTGAACCCAGAAGGCGGAGGTTGCAGTGAGCCGAGATCGTGCCATTGCACTCCAGCCTGGGTAACAACAGCGAAACTCCATCTCAAAAAAAAAGAGGATTCTAGGCACAGTGGCTTTGCCCTCTGTCTCAAATATATATATATATATATATATATAATATAAATATGTAAAATATATCTTTATATATAATATATAAATATGTAAAATATATATTAATATATAACATATATATTAAAAGAGTTAGAAAACGTAATTACAAATCAAAGGTTTGCTCTTTTCTTCTTGCATTTCAAAGCCTCTACAGTCTGAGAGCCCCTCTCTGGAGGCCACTAAAGTAAACATGATTTTCAAAAACTATGACTTGACCTTACTTTCCGAAAAGGTACCAGAACATCCCAGAAAACAACCACGTTTCGTCACATGGGTGGAGCAGCTCTGCAGGTTTTGATTATGGCCCACTGCCTTCCTCTGGCTTCACTACCTCAACCCTCAGACAGCAGCACTGCATGCGTCTGACATTTAAGTCCTTATAACAGGGTGAGCGGGGTCTCCCTTGGGTCACCCTGTCACCCTCCTTCCTGCTATTTCAGATTCCACTTTCTTCTTTTCTTGTTCTACAGGCTAGAGCGGGACACTCCTGAGTCAGCACCAGAGCACAAGACAAACAGGTGTCTCCACTTATCCTTACCTTGGTAGATGCTAATCAAAACCCATATTAAGAATGTCTTGTAGGACAACGGCCGCCCCTAAATGAGAAACAGAAAAATTAGAGCAGGTTTCCTGGGGGACTCGAGCAGCATGCCATCAGCGTTCACGTTACTCTCCCGCTAACCAGCCAAGGCAATCCATCTGTCTTCATCAACAAAGTGGCTTGCACACATCTGAACACATTAGAGAAATTATTTCTTTAAAAAAAGAATTGACCAGGTGTGGTGGCTCACATCTATAATCCCAGCCCTTTGGGAGGCTGAGACAGGTGGATCAATTGAGATCAGGAGTTCAAGACCAGCATGGCCAACGTGGTGAAGCCTCCTCTCTACTAAAAATACAAAAATTAGCCAGGCATGGTGGTGCACGCCTATAGTCCCAGTTACTCAGGAGGCTGAATCAGGGGAATCACTTGAACCTGGGAGATGGAGGTTACGGTGAGTCAAGATCAAGCCACAGCACTCCAGCCTGGGTCACAGAGACTCAGTATAAAAAAAAAATTGACATTAAATGGGAATAAATCTTCCCTTGGGTAAAAACCCTTGAACACAAGTAAAATTATAAGATGCCTGTGCCCATGCCACCACACACACTTTTTGGAAGTAGACACAGGGGCATCTCTGGGAGCAAACATAGGTTGCAGCTGCAAAGTGGAACTGTCAGGGGCTTTTTCAAAGTCGTGAGTTGGCTTGTTTTCAGTTTATCTATTACTGTACTCTTTCAAGTTCCAACAGTGCATATATTACTGTTTAAAGAAAAAATGCAAACTCCCACACCTTCCCCCCAAAAGTAAGAAAGCTACCAGTTCAAGTGTGTTCAAATCAGGAATGGAGGGTCTGTGTGAAATAAATTAAGGAAAAAAAAGTAGGGAGCGATGGAAGGAAGAGAAAAGAAAAGGAGGAAGGGAGGAAGGAGGGACTGAGAAGCCAACGGAACCTTGAGAAGATCCTTGTAGAGCTCAGGATACAGCATGGCAACTTCTGACTTGACGTCTTTGTCCAGGACCAGAGAAAACACGGGAAACATGGTGTAAATGGTGGAGTACCTGGGAGAGAAAGCCGCCACGGGTAAGACCTGGCCGATGGGGTAAGAGCTGTGTGCTATGCCAGCCTCCGGCACCCAAGTCCCATCCATGCCTCGGACAACTATTTACTGCTGGTCTATTACGCTCCAGGGCTGGCTGAAACCCAAGAGGAAAAATGGACAAAAATGTCTGCCCTCAAGGGTTTTCGTCCTAGTCAGTGAATCAATAAACAAATAAATTAGGTAAACTCTATGCGTGTTAGAGGTAAGCGCTGATAGAGAAATATAATGGCGCAGAGGAAATAAGGTGTGTGTATGTGTGTGTGCACATATGTGTGTATGTGTGTGTGCGTATGTGTATGTATGCATGTGTGTGTGTGTGTAGGGGGTAATAGCACAATTTTAGAGGCTAAGGAGCAGAACATTTGAGTGAACACTCAAAAGACGTAAGGGGCAGCCAAGCCAATCCCAGGAGGAAGAGCATTCCAGGGAGAAGAAATGGGCAGTGCAAAGGCCCTGAGGCAGTGGGTGGCTGTCATGTCTGAAAAAGAGCCCAAAGGCCAGTGTGGCTGGGGCTGAGGGTGATGGAAGAGGAAATGAGGACTCACAGGGAAGATGGTGTCATGCCATGGAAGGTCACATGCAGCACAGCTCAGGGAACCCCTGACTATATTGTCATGTTCTTTGACTCTTCCAGACCCCAACAAAGGACAGTCCGGTTTTCCAGCTAGAAGCAGGCAGAATTCCAGTGCCTCTGCTCAAGCTCAAGTCATCGGCCAAACGCAGTAAGAAAGAAAGCAGACTCCGCAAGCCTCTCCGGAGCGCAGCCGGCCTTGCTGCGCCGTCTCCTCATGACCACGCGTGGCCTCAGCTGCATGTCTCTGTATCTAGGGCACTTGATAAGCAAACTCCACCCACCTGGGTGATTCAAAGACTGAGCACAATCTCTGAAAACGTCAGAGGACCATCATGAAGTTCCAGGTCAGGAATGGGGGTGGGTTTGCGAGCAGCAAAGGCCCAAGTGACACCATCTCTGTCACCGTGGCACAGCAGGCAAGCTCTGTTACTCACACTTCCCTGAGGCAGTGGACTCTGGCCCTCCTTGGAGCTCCAAGGATGGGACTTCTACTGGGCTCAGTTCAGGCGAGGAGGGCATGTTTCAGGTTCCCCTTCCCTTTGATGAAGACCCCAGCGAAATCACCAAGCCTGCAAACCTTCCACCTTGCCTTCCTCAATCAACTGATAACCATGGGGTATTTTGTCATGACCAGGTTCAAGTGGCAAAGTACAGCACGCCACCTACATCTCCACCTCCACTTCCGTCTGGGGAAGGGCTTAACAGGTCAAAACCTTGGTAATTCCAGAAGGTTCTAAACCATGGTGCTGGGCCTGTGTTCGCTGGGGCTGAATCCGATGTGACTGGGGAACCCAAGAATTTTTCCACAACGTTCCTTCTCACTGCTGCGGAATTTGAAGGAAGTTTCATAAACAATTAATCCCTTGGCAGGATTTCCTTACCCAATGATGAGGAATCCTTGATAGAGAGGGACGGAGGCAAAGTAAAACACGGAGGAAAAGACAGCCTGTGCCAAGGAGAAAGGAGGGTGTCACCGAAAGTCACAACAAAGCCCTTGTGTCTACAGAATAAAAATAACACGTGATATTTACGCAGCCCTCACCCCGTGCTGTCAGGTACTTTACATGGATTCACTCATTTCATTCTTACAACAACAACCCTATGAAGTAGGTACGATTCTCACCATCCTCATTATGCAAAGGGGAAAGTGAGGCATAGAGAGTATGTGGCTTGCCCAAGCCCACACAGCTCATTAGCAGCAAATCCAGGAATCATTCCCAGGCAGGGTGATTTTACCACTCCAGGGTCCATTCCACCCACTGTGAATATTCATTAAGTTCCACGACCCAGGAATACTTTGCACATGAGCACACTGATCTCCAGAGCTGCCCACAGCATCAAGTCCTCTATCACCCACACTTTACAGAAGGGGAGACTGAGCAGGTAAAAGCCCAGCTGTAGCCCCAGAGCCCACACTTCTAACCAGCTCTGAATCCCCACCTCTGTAGGCACGCACACTGCCGGAGGCATGAAAATGCTTATGGAAAAAGAGCCTCCCAAGTGTCTATGGGGGCTGAAATGGCAGAGAAGGCTTCACTTCTTATATTACATGTTTCGGTATTTGGGGAAATTTTAGAAAAGAGCACATGACAGATTACTTTTGCAATTAGACAAAAGCAATGAAGATATTTACAAACCCTCACGGAAATGTCTGCTTCCTGCTTCGGAAAATATTAGCTGCTGGTAATAATGAATAGGCTGGGGAGATCCAATCAGCCTTGAAGCTCTGTTAGCTCCTTCTCTGGACCTCTATGGGCTAAAAGAGGGAACATGGTCTCCAGGCTGATTTCTATTCACATAAAGCTGAAGGAAGGCCAGAAACAAACACTGCCAGAAAGCTTTTAAAAATCTAAACACTGAAAGCAAGGCAGAGATACCCTAGTAACTGGTAACAGCATCAGACCAGGGCTAGGTCCGGGAGCATCTTCAATGGACGCAGAGAGAAAGCATGTAAGAAACGCGTGCCTTCTCTGCACAGAGCTCAGAGCGCAGGTGCCAAGGGGCCACAGGAAGCCCCAGCTGACCCTGGCCATGCCGGGAAAGCCACCTTTTCAGTGACATGTCACCCAGGCTGGGCTGCTGCATCGGAAGGATGGTTGTAAAAATGTCACAAGAAACTGGTGTTTATTTTGCAAACCAATTATCAGGAGTCCCTTCCTCTAAAAGAGTCATCCTAGCCATAAAGCCTTCATCTCAACAAGAGCATTCTGGGAAAAATTAAAACTATGTTCTCTGACCAGTGTCCAGGGGCAATTCTAACTGGGACTTGCTCTTGGCCATTTTCAGCACAGTGGACATGGGTTCAAGGCATTTTCTTTAACACAAAGAACAATGCCTCGTCCTGGAATTCTTTTCTACATCGATGTGAAGGGTAACATCCAGTTTGTGAAGAACTCAGCTCATCCCAGCCGGTTTTTATGGATGTGCCCAAGGATGAGCTGATTCCTCCCCTAGCGATTCAAACCACGGCATTATCCAGTCCAGTTGGTGAGTTAACATAAATTCAAGTACAGATGTGGTGTGGTGAACCACAGTAGCCGTTTAGGTTTAGATCATTTTGATGAAAGTCACTTTAAGGCTCCTCTACTCACAAACGCAATAGGTATTTAAAACATAAAATCACCCCCCAAAAATCCAGGGTAAAGTCAGTGGATGGTCAATTCACATGTACCCAAAGTAGCACCACTATGCAAGGAGGCCTGCCTTTCACGTAAGATTAAACATTCTCACAAGTTAAAATACCACCTGATGTTTACATATTCCCTTGTTTCACTTCTGCTAATCACGGTAAGGACGCCTCGGCACTGCTGACTTAAAAACCTCTCTGTTTTGCACAGTGGCCCTGTCTGAAGGCAAGGAGGATCTCATCATCCCTGTTTTCCAGGTGGGGAGACCGAGGCCTAGAGCAGGAAAGTTATTTGCTCCCGTTCTCACAGATCCTCAGTGGCGTGGTCAGGAGACATTGAGTTCCAGGATCTACTATGCCTACATTCTCACCACTCAACTGGGAGCATTTTCATCTCAATGCCCAAAACCGAAGATCAACCAATAGCTTTTCAACACCAAAAATGTTTTCTTTCCCTCCTTCGGCCCCCTTTCTACTCCACACTTAATTGCTACAGCCTGATGACAAATTCTGTTGTTGCCGCTGCTGTTGTTTTTGAGATGGAGTCTCACTCTGTTGCCCAGGCTGGAGGGCAGTGGCATGATCTCAGCTCACTGCAGCCTCCACTTCCCAGGTTCAAGTGAATTTCATGTCTTAGCCTCCCAAGTAGCTGGGATTATAGGTGTGTGCCACCACCTCCAGCTAATTTTTGTATTTTCAGTAGAGACAGGTTTTCCAGACTGGTCTCAAACTCCTGGCCTGCAGTGATCCACCTGCCTCGGCCGCCCAAAGTGCTGGGATTACAAGCGAGAGCCACTGCGCCTGGCCTGTGATGACAGATTTTGGAGGGGTTTGTGGGAGAGAAGGTGGGAAAATACATACTCTAGAATCCTTTTATGAAAAAGCAAGATGGGAGCAAGATGTTAACTTCCAAGGGTATTCGTGATCCTGATAACTAAACTCAGGTCCCCACTGGGCTCTGCTGGGTGACAGAACTGTGATGCCAAGGTAACCTCAGTCCCAAGTGTCACGCTGACCCCTGCAACTGCACATGGTTCCAGGCCCTCCATGACAAGTGCATCGAGAAGGATATTCAGATTGTGACTGCAGGCTTTGAGGTTTTCCTGCCTGAGCTGACTGAATCCCTGCAGGACACCGCAGATTTCTCATCCGTACTCAGTCTCAGCCTCCCCATCTGTAAAATGGGCTCAGGCTATTCTGAGACTTATGTGAGACACTGCATTGTGAACGCTCGGCCCAATGCCTAGCGTACAGGAAGCACGCAAACTAAGTCAGTTGTTCTTCTTTGGTGGTTGTTCCCTGATGGCCCTCACTCTGCCTGTGAAAAATCGGGGCCTAGAGTCATTCAGCACTTCACTCTGCGTCTGTCACTCCAGCAGACCAACTATAACAACTCACCCACAATTAAAACACCTCATGAACACTCCACTTGTCTCAGGCCAGGCACTGGACGTCACCACTGCTAACACACACATCCACACCACGTGGCAGGAATGACCAGCACTACTTCACAGGGGAGGAATCTTGAGCACCAGGATGTTCAGGGACCAGCTCAAGGTCTATCAGCTGGAATGTAGCCAGGTAGGGGGTTTAAACTGGTGAGGTGGGGGGTGACAGCTCCAAAGCATCGTCTAATTCCCAGGCTTTTTCCACAATAATCACATAGCCATATGCACCTGTGTGCAAAGGGGCCAGCTGCCCACCCACCTGCATGGTGCTGATACAGAGGCTCCTGTGAATCACGAACTGGCTGAGGGCGGCTGACCGCTTGTAGCTGTTCCGGCCATGCACCATAAGCAAGCGGCCAAGATGCTTAAATTGAGTGATGGAGAAGTCTGCGGCCAGCGAAGCCTGTTTGCCTTCCTAAAATCCAATAAAATGAGGCACTGTCAGAAGCACAAGAGGTCAGGGCAAACACATTTCCTTTAATTGAAAAAGCAAGACATTGTAAGGAGATATTTGAAGAGCTTCAAGAACGAAACTCTGGTTTCAAGTGATACACAGTTGGTGGTCCAAGTCTAAATTTGATTTTAAAAGGGGACTGTATTGAAATAAAAACCATTCTGAATCACACACAGTTATAATTTGGAGGTCAAGTGGATCTAATATTAAGCCTTGGGAGTTCAGCCCACCCCGTAAGTAGCAAAGGATCATTGAAAGATAGGTTTTTTAAAACATTCAGTTCCTTTAAGAGCTAATTAAACATGAGGTGAAAACCCAGAGCTCCTAACAATATTAGGAAATTCCTGAATATACAGCACTGCACACTCATAGAAGTGGAAATAACTTATAGTGCAGCCATATAATGGAATTCTCTCATTTTGCTTTTTTAATTTTTATTTTTTCTTGAGACAGGGTCCTGCTCTGTCACCCGGGCTGGAGTGCAGTGGTGTGCCCTCAGCTCACTGCAACCCTCCCACCTCAGCCTCCCGAGGAGCTGGGACCACAGACAGGCACCACCACACCTGACTCATTCGTTATTTTTGGTAGAGATGAGATTTCCCCACGTTGCTGAGGTTGGTCTCAGACTCCTGAACTCAAGCCATCCGCCCACCTCAGCCTCCCAAAGTGCTGCAATTCCAGGCATGAGCAACCATACTTGGCCAAATTCTCTCATTTTAAAAGGAGGTGACAGCCAACAATGAAGGGACAGAGGGACTGTAGAGCCTCTGGATGTGACACAACAGGAGGAACACCAGCTCCTCCTGTGCAGTGCTGACATCAATCCAGAATCGGAACCCAACCAATCCGACTGGCTCACGGTCTGCATAGCGTGAGACGCTCTACAATTGTCCTGAATGCTTTGAAAACATCATTGACGTGAAAAATAAAACACCCTCCAATCAAAAAAAAAAAAAAAAATAGAGAAAAGTGTTCTATAATAAGGAAGATTAGAGCCCTGCGCGGTGGCTCATGCCTATAATCCCAGCACTTTGGGAGGCCGAGGCGGGCAGATCACAAGGTCAAGAGATCAAGACCATCCCGGCCAACATGGTAAAACCCTGTCTCTACTAAAAATACAAAACTTAGCTGGGCATGGTGGCGTGCACCTGTAGTCCCAGCTACTCGGGAGGCTGAAGCAGGAGAATTGCTTGAACCAAGGAGGTGGAGGTCGCAGTGAGCCGAGATCGCGCCATTGCACTCCAGTCTCGCGCCTGGCAACAGAGCGAGACTCTGTCTCCAAAAAAAAAAAAGAAGAAGAAGAAGATTAGAAACATGACAACATGCTAGTAAACATGATTTGCAATCCTTCCTGGAGCTTTTTTTTCTTTTAAGGTATGAAGACATTTAGAGGACAGATGGGGAAATCTGAGCATGAATATTATACAGTACCATTATATCAATGTTACTTGCAGGGGTTGTGATGTTACTTTCCTTGTGTGGGAGAACATCCTTGTTCTAAAGAAATCCAGCTGAAATACTTAGGGGTAACATTATACGCAATTTACTTTCAACTGATTCAAAGAAAGAAAGACAATGCAGCAAATATTAACAACTGGCCAGTCAAGGTGAAGGGTAGATGGATGCTCACTGTTCTATTTCAACTTTTGTCATTTTTCAAAATAAAAAGGTACTCTTTCAGAGTAAGAAGTGATGGTTCTATATGCTCTAATGTAGGAAAAAATCCAGGATATAACAGATTTAAGTAAGCCGCATAACAAAATGTACAGTGTGTTTTCAATTTAAAAATTATACATGAAAATTAGATATATACATGTGTCAGGTAAGTGTACAGACAGCAAACCTACACACACTCATAACCAGTAATATACACACAGAAAAAATGTTGGAAGAATAACCAGGGGTACTCGTGTGATCCAGTTACCTAAATGAAAGGATGCACTTTACTTCTAGATTCTTTAATGTTACTTGTTTTTTTGAGACAGAGTCTCATTCTGTCACCCAGGCTGGAGTGCAGTAGCGCGATCTTCGCCCACTGCAACCTCTGCCTCCCAGGTTCAAGCAATTCTCCTCCCTCAGCTCCCAAGTAGCTAGAATTATAGGCTCCCACCACCAAGCCCAGCTAATTTTTGTATTTTCAGTAGAGACGGGGTCTCACCATTTTGGCCAGACTGGTCTTGAACTCCTGACCTCAGGTGATCTGCCCGTCTTGGCCTCCCAATGTGCTGGGATTACAGGCCTGAGCCACCGTGCCTGGCCTAGATTCTTTAAATTTTTTATAGTGAGCACTATTACTTTCACATCCCAAGAAACAAAGGAATCACAATACATTTTTAAGAGAAGGGAAATGCTTTAATTTTTGTAAGAACTGGTATAGAATTCCATTAAACTCAAACACGCTTTTTTTTTTTTTTTTTTTTGGAGATGGAGTCTCGCACTGTCGCCCAGGCTGTAGTGCAGTGTTGCAATCTCGGCTCACTGCAACCTCCGCCTCCTGGGTTCAAGCAATTCTCCTGCCTCAGCCTCCTGAGTAGTTGGGACTACAGGCATATGCCACCATGCCTGGCTAATTTTTTCTGTATTTTAGTAGAGACGGGGTTTCACCATGCTGGCCAGGATCGTCTTGATCTCTTGACCTCGTGATCCACCTGCCTCACCCACCCAACGTGCTGGGATTATACGTGTGAGCCACTGTGCCCGGCCAAACATGCTTCTTAAAACCTTCATTCAGGGAATCTACACAAACTTCTGATATATCCCATTCAAAAATCATTTCACAGCCAGGTGCAGTGGCTCACACCTGTAATCCCAGCACTTTGGGAGGCCGAGGCAGGTAGATCACAAGGTCAGGAGTTCAAAACCAGCCTGGCCAACATAGTGAAACCCTGTTTCTACTAAAAATACAAAAAATTAGCCAGGCACAGTGGTGAACGCTCCTCAGGGCCTTGGCACTCCTATACTTCACAAACTGTTTTTTGGGGATTTTTGTGGGTTTTTTTTTTTTGAGATGGAGTTTTGCTCTTTCACTCAGGCTAGAGTACAATGGCTCAATCTCGGCTCACTGCAACCTCCCCATCCCAGGTTCAAGTGATTCTCCTGCCTCAGCCTCCTGAGTAGCTGGGATTACAGGTACCCACCAGCATGTCCTGCTAATTTTTTTATTTTTAGTAGAGATGAGGTTTCACCATGTTGGCCAGGCTGGTCTCGAACTCCTGATCTCAAGTGATCTGCCCTCCTTAGCCTCCCAAAGTGCTGGGATTACAGGCTTGAGCCACCGCACCCAGCCCTTCACACAGTCCTAACTCAGTGACCCATCTTCTTACCTCTAGTCATTTAGAGGTCACAAATTAGGGCAGAGTAAACTATAAAAGGCAAGCACACAATCAGCAAGGAGGAAAAGACAGAAAAAAATGTTTCGTAACACATCAACTGTTAAAAATTGTAGCTCAGGTGGAGCGCAGTGGCTCACGCCTGTAATCCCACCACTTTGGGAGGCTGAGGCAAGTGGATCACAAGGTCAAGAGATCGAGACCATCCTGGCCAACATGTTGAACCTTGTCTCTACTAAAAATACAAAAATTAGCTGGGTGGGGTGGCATGTGCCTGTAGAGGCTGAGGCAGGAGAATCGCTTGAACCCAGGAGGCAGAGGTTGCAGTGAGTCGAGATTGCACCACTGCACTCCAGCCTAGGTGACAGAGCGAGACTTCGTCTCAAAAAGAAAAACTATAGCTGAAAAGGCCTTTTGGTGAGAAGCAAACCAAGCCACATTCTTCCATAAGTGCCCAAGAGATCAGCACATGGCAGGATAAATAATGCTTTTACTGACAATGCTGCCTGCCCCAGGGAAGTCTAAAGTACATTTCCCATACCGTGAGAAGATAGAGAAACACTTTATTTATTTATTCATTCATTAATTCATTTGACTGAGTCTCTATCTGTCGCCCAGGCTGAAGTGCAATGGCGCGATCTCAGCTCACTGCAATCTCTGCCTCCGGCGTTCAAGCCATTCTCCTGTCTCAGCCTCACAAGTAACTAGGATTACAGGTGCCCGCCACCACACCCAGCTAATTTTTGTTTTTCAGTAGAGACAGGGTTTCTCCATGTTGGCCAGGCTGGTCTCAAATTCCTGACCTTAAGTGATCCTCCTGCCTCAGCCACCCAATGTGCTGGGATTACAGGCATGAGCCACTATGCCCGGCCAAGAAACACTTTGTGGTTTGTTTTTTTTTTATTTAGATCTTGGCAAATAAATGGTCAACCTTCATCTGTCTGTAAGATGTAGCAGTATAGACCTCTTTCTTCGCAGTGACAGAGGTAACTGTGACACATAGTTCCTTACATGTTATCATCCTTCATCTGGAATTTCCAGAAGCCTTAAAACTACATCTCTGAGGGAAAAAGAACCAAGAAACTCCAGAAAGTGGAGTCAAGCAGAGGGAATACACTCACCTTTCCTTCCACTCCCACGCCGCAGTCAGATTCCTGAATCATGCTGACGTCATTGCCCCCGTCCCCTGCAGGCCACACAGACCAGAGAGAAAGGACATTTGATTCTTACCTTAAACAAGAATGCATGCTTCTCTTTAACACACTCGTGTCTTTCACAGAGCGCTTGCTGAGTGCCTGGCCTGCACTGCGCATTTGAGCTCTCCCACTCCCGCACTACCAAGATCCCATCTCACAGGCAGAGTGGCTGAGGGTCAGAGAGCCCAGGTGGCTTGCTGAGGGTCCTGGCACAGAGCAGCGGCAGTGGGACTGAGTTCACACGGGTATTTATCACCACCTGTCCTCCTTGAAGGCCAGGGTATCCCGATATTACCATCAGCAGCAACCCACAGTGTGCTTACTGGATGCTTACCACGCTGTGTGGCAAACACATTTTTTTTTTTTTTGAGACAGAGTCTAACTCTTGTCACCCAGGCTGGATTGAAGTGGCACGATTTTGGCTCTCTGCAACCTCCGCCTCCCAGGTTCAAATTATTCTCCTGCCTCAGCTTCCCCAGTAGCTGGGACTACAGGTATGTGCTACCATGCCCAGCTAATTTTTTTGTATTTTTAGTAGAGACGGGTTTCACCATGTTGGCCAGAATGGTCTCGATCTCCTGACCTTGTGATCTGCCCGCCTCCGCCTCCCAAAGTGCTGGGATTACGGGCGCGAGCATGGCACCTGGCCAGCAAGCACATTTTAAAAGTGATCCTTTTTAGGCTGGACACAGTGGCCCATGCCTGTAATCTCAGCACTTTGAGAGGCCAAGCAGATCCCCTGAGGTCAGGAGTTCGAGACCAGCCTGGCCAATATGGTGAAACCCTGTCTGTACTAAAAATGCAAATTAGCCAGGCTAATTGTAGTGGCGTATGTCTGTAGTACCAGCTACTCCAGAAGCTGAGGCAGGAGAATCGTTTGAACCCAGGAGGCAGAGGTTGCAGTGAGCCAAGACTGTGTTACTATACTCCAGCCTGGGGGACAGAACATTTCAACAACAACAAAAAAAAGGTGACCTCTTTTAAGTCCACGTAAACAACATTTGAGGAAGCCAGTATTATTATTCCCATTTCACCAATGTGCAAACGGAGGCTCAGATGGGTGAAAGAAGCCACCTGGGACACCTGCTGGGAAACGCCAGAGGAAAGATTTGAACCCAGATCCAACCCCATAGTGTGTGGTCTCTGCCCACTAGAAGGCTGTGCCCTTGAGCCACTGGCAAAGGAGTAGGGGCCTGGCTCACGCTTATCTGCTCTCCAAGGGAAATATTAAAAACAACAACAAAAAGAGAGCCAAAAAGTCTTTGAGGCAGAGAAAAATCATGACCTGAATAAAGGGGCCTGGGGAATTTGAAGAACAAGCAGCAGGGTCCAAAAACACCCTCAAGGAAAGGGAGCTGGGCGTACCGGCGGGCCAGGGCCAGCAGCACAGCTGAGCCGCGCCTACCTACTGCGCAGGTGAGCTTGCCCGTGCGCTCCTGCAGCAGGCGCACGATCTGGGCCTTCTGGGTGGGGGCGCAGCGGCAGCAGACCACAGCTGGGCACTGGCAGGCCAGCTCCATGAACTCGTACTCGTAGTACTTGAGGCAAACCTGCAGGGTGGAGGGAGAGGAGGTGCGTTAGTGGAGGTCGCTGCCCAGCCTGCAGTGCCCCGGATGAGGCCCAGGCTGCTGGGAGGACTGGCTCTCAGGGCTCCCTGAGCTCACCTCCAGGGAGTCTCCCGAGATCACCAGGGCGCAATCATGCTTCCTGCGGAAGGCATTCAGCTCGAGGTGAGCCTCCCCGCGGTTGGTGACCTGGAAGGGGACAGAGATGGAGAAGAAGGCATTGCTCTCCGGAGACCATAGAACAATAAACGGTGGCTTCCTAGAGCCAGCATGAAGACAACGGCCCCCCAGCCAAGGGTCCCTCCCCTCCCCAACCACAAGAGGCAGCACCAAATGGAATCCTGTTGGCTACGATTCTGTGGGAATCGGAAAAGCCCATACAATTTCCACCTACAATTTCCCTCAGGACTAAAAACACCTGTACTGGCCAGGTATGGTGGCTCATGCCTGTAATCCCAGCACTTTGGGAGGACAAGGCAGGCAGATCACTTAAAAAGTCAGGAGTTCGAGACCAGCCTGGCCAACATGGTGAAACCCCCTGTCTACTAAAAACACAAAAATTAGCCGGGCATGGTGGCAGGCACCTGTAACTCCAGCTACTCAGGAGGCTGAGGCAGGAGAATTGCTTGAACCCGGGAGGCGGAGGTTGCAGTGAGCCAAGATCGTGCCATTGCACTCTAGCTTGAGCAACACAGTGAGACTCTGTCTCAAAATAGAAAAAAAATGAAAACCAAAAAAAAGCCTGTGCTTTCATAAGACAGGCATTGGACTAAGCAGCTGTGGATTTTTCTCATTTATTTCTCACAACGGCTCTATGAGGTACCAAAAGAAGACTTTTTTGCACTTAAATGGAAGCATGGCGAAATTTGTCAGCGTGTCTGAAACTAGTGTGCTGTAGCACAGGTAGGCAGAGCCAGGCACCTGGCAGAGGCTGGCCCACTTTTCTGTAAAGGACCAGATGCTAACTGCTGTGGGCTTCGTGGACCACATGGTCTCGATCACAAACACTCTGCTGTTGTAACGCAAAAGCAGCCGCACACCATTCACAGACAAGTGGGTCTGTCTACACTCCAATAAAACAAAACGCCTGCTGTGTAGAAAACAGGTGGCTGGCACAGGTCATTCGTTTGTAATCCCTGAATTCTGGAACACACAGTCAATTCTCATTATTCATAGCAGCTACATTTTCTAAAGTCACTGTGCACGTGGAATTAGCAGATACTAAACCATCACCTGGAGGGGAAATACAGGGTTAAATTTTTGCCCCTGGTTGCAATGTTTATTTTATGTGTGTTTCTATTTAAAGACACCTTGATTAACTAATATTGAACCCACAGCCACCAGTGATGTAAGTCATGCCTGAAGGAAGCTCATCGGACACGTATGTTCTCCCTAAGTCACACCGACAGCCTTCCTGCACTTAGGAAGACGAGCCAGCAAAGCAGCACTGCGCTGGGACCATTTTAAACAACAAGCTGCCAACAAAAGGCACAAAAATGGGAAAAACCTGATACTTAAATGGACTGCAAAGAGGACATGTGTTCGCCACATGAGGCTGAAAGAAGGAGGCAGTGCGTGGCCTGCTCAGCCGCAGGTGGGAATGCACACATCACGCAGCTAAAATGCTAAGCCACTCTAGGCAGGGCGCGGTGGCTCATCCCTGTGATCCCAGCACTTTGGGAGGCCAAGGCAGGAGGATCACCTGAGGTCAGGGGTTCAAGACCAGCCTGACCAACAGGGTGAAACCCCATCTCCAATAAAAATACAAAAATTAGCCGGGCGTGGTGGCAGGCACCTGTAATCTCAGCTACTTGGGAGGCTGAAGCAGGAGAATTGCTTGAACTCAGGAGGCGGAGGTTGCAATGAGCTGAGATGCACCACTGCACTCCAGCTTGGTTGACAAGGCTCCATGTCAAAAAAAAAAATTTTTCTTTAAGCCATGCTACGTATCACCGTGAAAGTATGAAAAGTACTGATTTGGAAGTCACAGATAAGTTTTAATGAGGAGGACAATTCACAAAGAATCTGCGAATGATGAGAACTGACTATACCTGCCTCTACACTATTCTAAAAATTGTTGCATTTTTTTGAAGCTTCTCTGTGCTATGGACCAAAGGCAGGGGTGAGGGGGAGACACCCAAACATCTAGAGACCCTCCAGTTTGCCATCATGGCTCTGGTTTCAGATCAGTGGGATTGCTATAATCTGCCCCAAAGAGGAGCCAGTGCCCCTTACCTCCCCAACGCGAGAAAGCCTAGTACAGGCCTCGCTGGACACAGTTCCTGATGTGTGCAGTGTTTCGCTCAATGCCTGCCACAGGGGCGGGCAATTTCTCATTTGCCCATCCAGTTCCCCTCCTTCAAAAGGCTCCTGAATGGTCCTGACTGCTTCCCCCTTGAGAGGGCACACAGGCCAGAATCTGTGGCCTGGAATTTCTTTCTTATCCAAGGACTGGACTTCCAGGGGTTCAGTGAAATCCCAGGAATCCCATACATAATTTCACGTGTATAAGTGGAGCTGCATCTTTCAGGGGTAGTGCCTAACTTTCATCAGCTTCTCAAAGGGACTGTGACCCCCTAAAAGGGTAAGAGCATGGCATTAGCACCAGACTCTCAGGAGGTGCTCCTAAACCACTCCTGGACGGAACTCTCCATCCGGCACCTGGCTCAACAATCATCCCACCCAAGGAATCATTCAACCATGGCTGAAGCTCCCCTCCCTAGGTGGTTCCTTCTTAAGGGGCCCACTTGAGGTTAGGAGGCTCAGGACTAATCAAACCTCTCCGCCCCCATGGCACTAACATAGAGGATGCTTTACCAGCCGGAACACGTGGATGTCCTGGTTTCTGGTCACCAGGTGTGCATTCTTCGCTGTGCATGTAGCGGTCTCCAGCTTGTCCCCCGTCAGCATCCAGACCTGAAATGACCACACAGCAGAGGTCCTATTTGTTAGTTTTTGAGGCCGGCCTGTCAACTGCAACAGCTGAGTTTCCAAGAACGTGGAGCTGAACTTGAAAGGTTCCGTTTACCTCCTGCCGACACGTGCTGTCCCCAGCACAACTCAGCAAGCGCCCTGGCTGAAGGGCTTTAGGACTCCAAGCAAAACCACTGCTGGTAGCAGCAAAAGCTGGTGGATCCTTCTAGAAAGAGCCATCTGGCCACACACTAGAGGAGGTACTGTGAAGCTCAGTCCTTGGACCACATAATTCCCCTTCTGAGGATTTTTCTTAAAGTGATAAATATCCTAAAAGAAGGGAAAGGCTGTATGGGTGAGAGGGCACCTCTGTGTCCTGCAGGAAAGACTGATTTGTGATGCTGTGGACTTTCTACATAGTTGGATGAGCAAGACAGACCCTCCTGGGGTGTAACTCAGCTAGAAAGTGCTGACCCTAAATGAGCCAGGTTATTCCACATAATGTGTATCGTCTCACACTGCACTGCTCTGCTGTAGGCTCAGAGGAGGCAGGTGACTTGCCCCAGACCACACAGCCACCTCTCTTCCTAACCAAGCCCAGTCTTCAGTCCTCAGGAATGTGCTTTCCACTCTGCGATTTCACCTTATTAACCCTCTTGTTCTCTTTGCTCCCAGCTGGGAGAAGTCTTGGGGCTATCAGACAAAGAAAATCTGGAGAGCAGGGGAAGTGTAGGAAATAAAATCCTATTTTCCCGAGTCTCCCGAGGGTCCACTATGTGCCCAGCACCCATGCTGAGCTGCCTGTCACCTTCATGATAGCTTCAAACACTGGGGAAGGAATTAGCCTGGCACAGTGGGGTGTGCCTGTAATCCCAGCTACTCCTGAGGCTGAGGCACAAGAATCGCTTGAATCCAGTGCTAAGAGGTTAAGTCATTTGCCAAGGGTCACAGAAGGGAGAGGCAGGATGGAAACCCAGGCAGTGGGATGGGCAGAAGGAAGACACAGGGCACCTCTCAGGGTTGAGCCTCCCAGGCCCTCTCCCCTGGCAGGGTCTATATTTGCCCTCAATCTCCCGCCTGTCCTAAAAACAATATTCTGGTGAGCCTAGTGAGTCACAGTTCTCAGGGTTTAATGCAAGAGAACAAACACTGGGGAAGGAATTAGGAGGCTAAAGTTCCAGAAAAGCATGAAAAGAATGATCAGGTGCACAACGTGGCTAATGTCCCACACTGGGGCGATGAAGATGCTACAGGAAGGGCCGGAGACCCAGCTCCAGTCCCAGCTCTACCGCTTCCCAGTGTGGGAACCTGGGGAAAGGAGGCGCCTCACTCAGCCTCAGTTTCTACATCCACACAAGGGGCTAATGTAGAAAATTTCATGTGCAGCCGGGCGCAGTGGCTCATACCTGTAATCCCAGCACTTTGGGAGGCCAAGGTGGACAGATCATTTGAGGTCAGGAGTCCAAGACCAGCTTGACCAATGTGATGAAACCCTAGCTCTACTAAAAATGTAAAACTAGCCAGGCATGGTGGCACATACCTGTAATCCCAGCTAATTGGGAGGCTGAGGCAGCAAAATTGCTTGAACCTGGGAGGCGGAGGTTGCAGTAAGCTGAGATCGTGCCACTGCACTCCAGCCTGGGTAACAAGGGCAAAATTCTGCCTCCAAAAAAAAAAAGTCCTGTGCAAGATCGTATCTTAGACTTTAATTACCAACTAATCTGCCCCATCTCAGGCACCCCTCCCCCTCTCATCTAACAGGAAACCAGAAAGATAAGTCGCATCCACACTCTGTGAATAAAACATCTCATCTTGGAATAACACAGTTTTGGGAAGGAGAAAAAACCTAGAACAAAGCTGGAAGCAGAAAATGGAAACTCCTGAACTCCAAGAGAAGTTTTAGGAATCGCCAGGACCCAACTGCAGACTCCACAACGGAGCAGAAATGGGCTTCCAGCAGCCAGACTTCCGGAAACGAGGTCCCGCTGGTGATTTCCTAATGACGCACCAGGCCCGAGAGCCGAACACACACGACAGAATCGGTTTTACAACAAAAGAGGCACAATAGGGGTGGGAGTCCCTGGTGGGCCCGAATGTCATCTGGCGTCTACCCTTCCTCCTCCCATGGCTCTGCTGAAAGGGCAGGCCCCAGGATGCAGCAGAGAGCCACTTTTGAGTGGAGGCCAGTGGCAGGGACACGTTTCCAGGAGCTCCAGGCCAACGAGTTTGTTCACACCTCCCTTGCGTCCACTGAGGACCAGGTCCTCACGCGCCCTCTGCTGGCCTCTCTAGATTCAACTCCTAGTATTTTTTTTATTTTTGGCCCCAAACAGAAGAGTGCAAAATGCTAATATGACAGCGTCAAGGCGCTGGCGGCCATTCTGCTGGGTGGCCACTAGCTCACTCAGCCACACAACAGACAGATGTGCTGGTCACTTTACTAGAATATAATCGGCAGCTGTGCACGCCAGACACTGCTCAGCCCTGAGCACCAGGGAGCCCAGAAGGGTCAGGCAAACGCTACACAAGACGTCTTCCAAATCAGGGCTGGAGGGCTCGGCACGGTGGCTCCCGCCTGTAATTCCAGCACTTTGGGAGGCCGAGGTGGTTAGATCATCTGAGGTCAGGAGTTTCAAGACCAGCCTGGCCAACATGGTGAAACCCTGTCTCTACAAAAATACAAAAATTAGCTGGGCATGGTGGTGGGTGCCTGTAATCCCAGCTGCTCAGAAAGCTGAGGCACAAGAATGGCTTGAATCCAGAGGTGGAGGTTGTAGTGAACCAAGATCGTGCCACTGCACTCTAGCCTGAGCGACAGAGCAAGATTCCATCTAAAAAAAAAAAAAAAAATCAGGACTGGAGGGGCAGAAACAATGGCTGTGACCACTGCAGAGAAGGCACTCCTGGTCTCTGCTGTTCCTCCCGCTCTGATCTCCCTGCGCTGCTGAAGGGATAACTGGCATTACCCTGGAGTGCCCTTCCCTGCAGCCAGCCCACCCTACCTTGATGCCAGCATTCCTCAGGGTCTCCAGTGTGGGCCGCACATCCGCCTGCAGCTGGTCCTCCACGCCCGTCAGGCACAGAAGCTCCATCTCCATCTCCAGGCTCTCAATGACCGTGGCCACTTTGAGGGAGCGGTCGTGCACACTCAGCTTGGCCTGGACATAGCGGGCCTGGGAAACAACAGCAGATACGGTCACTGCTTAGGGTGAGGAGACACCCGGCTAACTGGCCGGGGCTGAGAGTGGATAGGCCGTGCCTGGTCCCCACCACACAAGGTGGGGACTCCAGCAGGTGAGCCAGACCCCACAGGGGTGACACAGGCTTCTGGCTCCCCGAGAAGTCCTCCATGGAGACACCATACAGACCTGAGTCCCACCCTATGCAGTACACTCGCCTGCTGGGGGGCTTCCAGTAAGTCACTTAACCGCTCTGAGCCTTGGCCATGAAATGACAGTAACAGCACCAACCTCACTGGGTCGTCTCAGGGACAGGCACAACCGAGATCTCAAAAAATAGTAAATCCCCCCACACTCCACATGCACTTTGTAAAGCACACGCTAGGTCACCAGGTTTTCTAAAGACCAGGTCAGGCTTCTGAAGACCATCAACCCAAACTTTGCTTCTTCTCTTTACCATGTTAGCAAAAGCCTGGGGGAAAACCAGCCATCTGCTAATGGGCCTGCTCAAAGCACACACTTTTAAAGTTACAAGGTGGGTAGCATCTATCAGGACTAGAATGCTTGTTACATAAAGGCTTACGAAGAACTCAAATACATTAATGAGAGACCCAGGCAGTTTCTCCAGGTAGAGCAGGGCAGGGACCCACAAAGCCTGTCTTACCTCCCTCCCTTGCATTCCTGCACGCTGGCTCCAGAGACACGGCAGTGAACAAGATAGGGACCCTCCCCTCAGGGAACACACTGTCTATGGGACAGGATGACAACCAACAAGTCACTAACCTGGTTCAACTCCAACACTTTAAAGAAATTAGGGATGCCAGGTGCAGTGGCTCATGCCTGTAATCTCAGCACTCTGGAAGGCCAAGGTGGGCAGATCACCTGAAGTCAGGAGTTCAAGACCAGCCTGGCCAACATGGCAAAACCCTGTCTCTACTAAAAATACAAAAACTAGACAGGTGTGGTGGCACATGCCTGAAATCCCAGCTACTTGGAGGGTTGAGGCTGAAGAACTGCTTGAACCCGGGAGGTGAGGCTGCAGTGAGCCAAGATCATGCCATTGCACTCCAGCCTGGGTGACAAGAGTGAAATTCTGCTCAAAAAAACAAAAAGGGAACTGAACAAGGTGCAGTGGCTCACGCTTGTAACCCCAGCCACAAGGAGGTTGAGGCAGGAAGACAGCTTGAGGCCAGGAGTTTGAGATCTGCCTGGGCAGCAAAGCAAGACCCCATCTCAAAATAAATGTGCAAAAAAAGAGAAAAGAAATTAGGGCTCCAAGAGGATGATTTATGCCAAATTTTCTTGAAGGCATACTATGTGCCAAGAACTATCTTTAACTATTAAGGATATAAGAACAAACCAGGCCAGGCGCAGTGGCTCACACCTATAATCCCTACACTTTGGGAGGCCAAGGCGGGTGGATCACCTGAGGTCAGGAGTTCGAGACCAGCCTGCCCAACATGTCAAAACCCCGTCTCTACTAAAAATACAAAAATTAGCCAGGCGTAGTGGCGGGCACCTGTCATCCCATCTACTTGGAAGGTTGAGGCAGGAGAATCGCTTGAACCCTGGAGGTGGAGGTTGCAGTGAGCCGAGATCGCACACTGCACTCCAGCCTGGGTGACAAGAGCAAAACTGTGTCTCAAAAAAAAAAAAAAAAAACAGGCTTGCGAAGTCCCTGACCTCAAAAATATTTTTTATTCCAGAAAAGAGATGGATAAGATGAATGTTTTAAAAAGTATGTGAACAAGGTCAAGGTTACATTTTTCTGGCCTCTCCAGATTCAACTCCTAGACATATTGTTTTGGCCCCAAATGGTGGAGTGCGATGACAGTGACAAAAGCATTGAAAAAGTGACACAGTGTGATTGATGGAAAGTGAGAAGGTGCCTTAGACGGGTGGCCCAGGAAGACTTCTTGGAGGAGGTAGCTTTTCAGCTGAAACCCAAAAGAAGCAAGGGAATGGGTCATGGGGCTCTGTGGGTGAAGAGAGTTCCAGGCAGAGAGAATAGCAGGTAGAAAGGCCTCTCACAACAGCGAATGCCGTGTGCCCAGAAACATCAGAGTGGCTCGCACAGGAGGAGGGAAGTGGAAGGGGTGACTGGGAGGTGGGCGGGGCTGCAGAAGCCACGGAAAGGCCCCAAAACAACTTACTTCAAAGTCCTGATACTGCTCCTCCGCTAGAGACTTCTTCGCCACCACGAGCACCCGGAGCCCTTCTCGGGCCATGTTGCCACACTGAAAAGTAGACCACAGTCAGCGCGGGAGCTGTGCTGAGCGCTCCTGACTTCACTGCGGAGGGACCAGGGCCCAAGTGGACATGCCCCTCCCACGGCGACAAGGAAAATGGCAAATCAGAAAGTTGCTCTCCCCTGCAGCAGTCTTCCCTAGAGCAAACCTTCTATAGGAGAGGGGGCAGAGAGGCAGCCCATGGCTGAACACGGCCGCACATAGGTCATCTTTGACAAGCACATACAGGTTTCAAAATTTAAGTCAACACCGTATGGTCAGCCAGGCACAGTGGCTCATGCCTATAATCCCAGCACTTTGGGAGGCTGAGGTAGGTGGATCATCTGAGGTCGGGAGTTCGAGATCAGACTGACCAACATGGAAAAATCCTGTCTCTGCTGAAAATACAGAAAAATTAGCCGGGCATGGTGGCGCATGCCTGTAATCTCAGCTACTCGGGAGGCTGAGGCAGGAGAATCGCTTGAACCCGGGAGGTGGAGGTTGTGGTGAGCCAAGATCGTGCCATTGCACCTCAGCCTGGGCAACGAGTGAAACTCCGTCTCAAAAAAAAAAAAACAACAACAACAACATCATAGGGTCTCACACACAAATCTGGGTTGCTGAATGGGTGGAAAAACTGAGCATCTGATGAAATCAATCACTGATGGCTGAGAAGCAGTGGCCTCCGCAACCCTGCTCAAAAATCACAACCTGTTCTGTTCATTTGCATTAACTGCCTGACCCCTGTAGACATCTGGGTTTGCAGCCCTTAAACTTGTAATCTAATGCAAAATGTAAATTCTCCATGTAGAGCTAAGGGATGGGACAAAACCAGCCAGAAAAATCTGAGCGCTGCTTCCCTCCTGCCGCTGGTCAACTGTCCACATCACAAACCAAGTTGGGCAGCCTCTGACTAGGCCCCCACTCCCTGGAACTCACATTCTGGGATAAGCACCTACCCTTTGAGTGTGTGCTGGACCAAGTGACTTGGCCCTAACAAACAGAACAGGTGAGAGTGAAGGGATGTCACATCTGAGCTCAGGTTAGGAAAGCCAGTCCCTTCCATCTTGTTTGCCCTCTCCTGTTCCCTCACCTGCTCTTTGATGGAGTCAGCTGCCAAGATGTGAGTGGCCCTATGGGAGAAGCCCACTTTCAAGGAATAGAGGATGGCCTCTGATCAACAGTCAGCAAGCACCTGAGACCCTCAGTCCAACAGCCCACAGGGAGCTGAATGCAGCCCACAACCACTGAGCTTGCTCACAAGTGGATCCAGCCCCAGTTGAGTCTTAAAATGAGACCACAGCCCCAGCCAACATCTGAATTATGGCCAGTGGGAGACCCTAAAGCAGAGAATGCAGTTCAGCCACACCAGGATCCCTGACCCACAGAAACCATCATCTATTAAATGGGTGCTGCTTTAAGCAGCTACATTTCAGGGTGGTTTGTTACACAGCCACTGATAACAAATACAGAGCCCCACCTTACCATGCCAGGGCTGCCTCTGCAGAACAGGCTTCAAGGTCTGGTGTTAACTCCCTGTACCACACTTACCTCTTCCTCCAACCAGTCGTTGTACTGCACAATGCCAGCCATGACCACATCTGCTCCCTTCATGTAAAACGTAATTTCTCCAGTTGATTCATCCTAGAGAGGGAGGCCAGAAGGAATGAGAAACTGAAAGAAACACCCTCTTCTGGCTGCAAAGTCCGCTTCCCATGACAGACGGTGTACAAAGTACACTTAACAGACACCAATGTTTTATCACTTGGCTGAAGATGAAAAGCCAGAAGGGGCCTCATTTGGGGTCAAAAGCTACAGAAAGCAAAAGAAAAACTCAACACATTTGGAAAATTAGTCAATGATGAAAGCAAGATCAAACAAATTTAAAATCCAGTTTTTTGTTTTTTTTTTTGAGAGGGAGTCTCACTTTGTCACCCAGGCTGGAATGCAGTGGTGCAATCTCGGCTCACTGCAACCTCCACCTCCCGGGTTCAAGCAATTTTCCTGCTTCAGTCTCCTGAGTAGCTGGGATTACAGGCACCTGCCACCACTCCCAGCTAATTTTTGTATTTTTAGTAGAGACGGGGTTTCACCATCTTGGCCAGGCTGGTCTCAAACTCCTGACTTTGTGATCCGCCCACCTTGGGGCCTCCCTAAGTGCTGGGATTATGGGCATGAGCCACTGCGCTCAGCCAGATTTAAGACCTTTGTTTTGAAAGTTATTACTATTTCGACTGGAACGGACTCGCACACCATGATTTTAGATTTATACTTGACACAGCAGATATCACCAAACTGCAGTCCACCGAAAGACTAGGGAAGACCAGGACCAGAACAGGGGAGCTCAACCTCATCACTGTGAACATTTGGGGCCGGATAACTCTGCTCTGTGGGGCCCCTCCTGTGCAATATATCCCTGTTCAGCAGCATCCCTGGCCCCTGCACACTAGACGCCAGTCACACCCTCCATGGTGGTAACCAAAATGTCTCTAGACTTTAGCAAACATCTACTGGGGCAAAACTAACTGTCTCAGCTGAGAATAATACCAGATGTCTACAACTACCTGATGACTGGCCTAGAGATCTGATTCCAGTTCACCCTGACCAGATTTCCTGGGTAGTACCATGGCACAGGCACCAAATACTTGGTCCTGGCACCAGTTCCTAGCTGTGTGCAGCTGGACAAGCTACTGCTCTTTCCTAAACCTCAATATTCTCATCTATACAACATGAGTCAAGCATGCAGCATAGAGACCGATGCACAAAAGGGGTCCCTCTGTGGTATAATTGCTGTTGGGAGGAGGGTGACTTCCCAAGTCCCACAGCCATCCTGTGCAGAGAGAACAAGACTTAGCCCAGGACTCTCCATGGGACAATGTGGCCCTCCAGGAGACATCTAGCAATGTCTGGAGACACTCTAAGTGTCACAACGCAGGCAATGTCCTACTGGCATCTAATGGGTGGAGGTAAGGGGTGCTGTTCACCCTCCTACACCATACAGGACGCCCCCAGTCGCCACCAGGAATTCCTCCAGCCCTGAAAGTCAACAGTGCCGAGACTGAGAAGTCTTGGCTTTGAGGAGTGACAGCGCGGCCATAGATCCCTCCCCCTTTTTGCCCCCAGTGATTCGGGTCACTGGGAGGTGGGAGGCAGTAAAGAAGGCATGAAAATGGAGCATGGCCACCAATACCTTGTGCCTACATTTTGCTGCTCCGGGAAGCCCAGAATAAACACCCATGAAGTCTTCACTGAATGTGAACCCGTGGAGACAGAAGTGACTGCATCTCGAGCCAAGCGCAGTGGCTCTCGCCTGTAATCCCAGCAATTTGGGAGGCTCAGGCGGGTGGATCACCTGAGGTCAGGAGTTCAAAAGCAGCCTAGCCAACATGGAGAAACCCCATCTCTACTAAAAGTAAAAAATTAGCTGGGTGTGGCGGTGCATGCCTGTAGTCCCAATGACTCAGGAGGCTGAAGAATCACTTGAACCTGGGAGATGGAGGTTGCAGTGAGCTGAGATTGCACCACTGCACTCCAACCTGGCCGACAAGAGCAAAACTCCATCTCAAAAAAAAGTGACTGCATCTCAGATGCGAACGCACCATGCTGACTCTGATTAGGCCAGTCCTTTATTCACTGTCCTTTATGCAAGAACACGTCAACCTTGATGTGATGCACAGATTACAGGTGATGACACAAACAGCCTTCTTGCCTCTCCTGGAGGGTGCCTGTCATTGTCCTGCTGAGGGACATGGACGCTTTCCCTGTGGAATAAGCCCAGGATCTAGGGAGTAACCATGCGAAGATCTACCTGCCTTGCTGCCCAAAACCACCCTTCTGTTAAGCTCCCACAAAAGCCACACTTCTATCTGCAAGTTCCCCGACTAAAACACCCTTTACTGACCCACTGCCTTGTCCTTCGGTTTCAGGCTCCTTCGGGGCCACTTTGCCCCTACAGCCCTTTCACGGGACAGAAATATCCCAAATCAGATTCATGGTAGAGTTTCCTCTTTTAAAATAACTTTCCAATATGCCCCTTAATCACCGACAATCTTTCAGAACAACACGCTAACTCATAAAAGCATCCCCAGGCCAAGACAGGCACCGCGTTTAAAAGCGTTCAACCGCACACTTTATCTTGGATGGATTGTGACTATGCCTGCTCTGTACGCAGCCAAAGGGAGCTGTGGGGTCTGCACACTCAAGCATCAGAGGTTTTATTTTTTCCGTCCCCCACCCCCACCAAAGGGTGCTCAACAACACGGCTGTAGGAACTGATGCTCCCCACCCAGCTTCCTCACTATGAAAGGGGCTCGGGTGAGTTTAGAAGCTCTGTCCAATATAAATACCCATCAACTATCTCCTCCCATGAGTCACTTCCTCCCATGGAGTTCATCGCAAGTTTACTTTGTTCCCATATTATGGCAAGATGACGCCATCAATTTACAGAGACCGGCCGGCTGTGTGGCATTGTCTGGGGGGCCTCATCTTTTCCCAGTGTGGTCTGTATCTGGCACCTGCTCAAAGGCGTCTTTTAGTCCAGCAATGACAGCGCTATGATGATCTACAGCCACGGTCCAAACCCGTGGCTCCACATGGGAAGGGGAGAAGGCATCGGAACATCTTGTACACAACGAAAACAAAACAGGGACACGACCTTCCTTCAGAAAGACAGCACACTTGCCCTTCTCTAACCTGGCTCTTCAGAGACAGAGATTCACACAACGAGATGACCTTGCTCTGTGGGTGGGAGAAGATGTGCCATGCACTGTGTGTGAGCTCACACGTGTTTAAAGAAGAGACGGGGGGGCAGGCGTGGTGGATCACACCTGTAATCCCATCACTTTGGGAGGCTGAGGTGGGCAGATCACAAGGTCAGGAGATAGAGACCATCCTGACTAACACAGTGAAATCTCATCTCTACTAAAAAAAAAAAAAATACAAAAAATTAGCCGGGTATGGTGGCACATGCCTGTAATGCCAGCTACTCAGGGGACTGAGGCATGAGAATTGCTCAAACATGGGAGGCAGAGGTTGCAGTGAGCTGAGATTGCACCACTGCACTCCAGCTTGGGTGAGACCCAACCTAGGACTGCCAACAGTCACTAAATCAAGTGGAGAGAAGTTTTTTTTATTTTTTTATTTTTTTATTTTTTATTTTTTGAGACAAAGTCTCGCTGTGCTGCCCAGTTGGTGTGCAGTGGCACTGCTCAGCTAACCACAACCTCTGTCTCCCAGAGCCAAACTCTGCCAACACCACTGACACCCGGATGTGGATCCCAGCACCAGAGAATCTGAGACCCCTTGAGCCCAGGCTGTGAGAGACTCTGAGCCAGAGGACCCAGCAAGCCTGCCACAGAAACTGTCCTGGCCACGGAAACTATCAGATAGCACACAGAAAAGCGAGCCCCCCAGTTAGGTGTGGTGGCTCATGCCTCTAATTCCAGCACTTTGGGAGGCCGAGACAGGAGGATCATCTGAGCCCTGAAGTTTGAGATGAGCCTGGGCAATATGGTGAGACCCCATCTTCACCAAAACTACAAGAATTAGCAGAGCATGGTGGTGTGCACCTGCAGCCCCAACTACTTGGGAGGCTGAGGCAGGAAGGTTGCTTGAGCCTGGGAGGTTGAGGCTGCAGTGAGCCATGATTATGCCCTGCACTCCACCCTGGGCAACAGAGCAAAACGGAAGGAAGGAAGGAGTGAGGGAGGGAAAGAGGGAGGGAGGGAGGGAGGGCAAGGGAAGGAAAAAGAAGGAAGAAGGGGAGGGGAGGGGAGGGGAAGGAGAAGGGAAGGAAGTAAAGGAGGAGAGGAGAGGCGAGAAAAGAGAAAAAAAGAAAAGAAAATAGGAAGGGGAGCTTCTTTACTCCAGGGGAATACATTTACTCCTGGAGTAAGGGAATGCATTTCCCTGTAAGAAAGACCTCAGTGCCTAAGACTGATCCCTATAAACGCTATGCGTTTTCCTACACATATCTACCTACGCTAAAGTTTAATTTATTAATTAGGCACAGTAAGAGGTTAACAACAACAACTTATAACAAAATAGAACAATTCTAGTACGCTGTAATCAAGGTGAAGTAAGGCTTGCTTGAACACAGGCCTGCAATACCCTAACAGCCTGAGGGCTCCTGAGTGACAGGAGCAAGCAGGTGGACGGCGTGAGGACACTGCACAGAGATGATGCATGTCCCGGGGGATGGAGTGGGGTGGCATGAAACTCATCACACTACTCACAACGGCACACAACTTAAAACCTATGAATTGTTTATTGCTTGGAGTTTCCATTCCATATTTTTAGACGACAGGTAACCACGGGTAAGCAAATGAGTAAGCATGACCACAGTGCTGTTTCAAGCCACTAGACGCGGAGTGATCTGTTACGCAGCGATATGGAGTTAATACCCTACACAGACATTACCATGGGTCCCCTGTGAGCTTTTCCACGTCCCTCTTGTCACACCCCAGTCCTAACCCCCAGGTCCTGCGGTACAGAGCCAGGAGCCGGAAGCCAGGCAGCCTGGAGCGAGTCCCAGCACCCCCCAGTTCCAGCTGTGGGAACCTGGACAGGTTTCTGAGCCTCCCTCCACTTCCATTTTCTCCTCCGCCAAGTATCAGTCTTAATGGTACCTACCTCACGTGGTTACAGTGGTAAGAATTAAATGAGTTACTTTATGCAAATCACTTAGAACAGCCTCTGGCACACAATAAGCCCCACTGAAATGTTACCTAGGCTGGGTAATACCAGCACTTTGGGAGGCCAAGGTGGGCAGATGGCTTGAGGTCAGGAGTTTGAGACCAGCCTGGCCAACATGGCAAAACCCCATCTCTACTGATAATACAGAAAATCGGCCGGGCATGATGGCACATGCCTGTAATCCCAGCTACTCAGGAGGCTGAGGCAGGAGAATTGCCTCAGGAGGCAGACGTTGCAGTGAGCTGAGATGGTACCACTGCACTCCAGCCTGGGTGACAGAGTGAAATTGTGTATCAAAAAATAAATAAATGTGCCGGGCACAGTGGCTCACACCTGTAATTCCAGCACTGTGGGGGTCTCAGGCAGGAGAATCAATTTGAGGCCAAGAGTTTGACACCAGCCTGGGCAATATAGTAAAACCCTGTATCTACAAAAATTAAAAAATTAGTCAGCCATGGTTTTGCAAGCCTGTAGTCCTAGCTACTCAGGAGGCTAAGGTGGGAGGATTCTTCTTATTAATAAATTATTTTAATAAGAATTTAAAAATTAGAAAGTTTTAAAAGAGCAAAGAGAAAAATATATCAAATCAGACTCTTCAGACTGGCAACATTTTTTAACGTCTGACACCATCAATTGTTGGTGAGGACATGGAGGAACAGTGGAAAAGAGATGAGTACAACCACTGGAGAAAAAGCCAGTGAATTCTGGTAACCAGAGTTGAAGATGCAGGCCGGGCGCGGTGGCTCACGCCTGTAATTCCAGATCACCTGAGGTCAGGAGTTTGAAACCAGTCTGGTCAATATGATGACACCCATCTCTACTAAAAATACAAAAATTAGACAGGTGTGGTGGTGCATGCTTGTAGATGCAGCTACTCAGGAGGCTGAGGCAGGAGAATTGCTTGAACCCGGGAGGCATTCTCAGCCTATCTCAGCCTCCCAAGTAGCTGGGATTATAGGTATGCGCCACCACGTCCAGCTAATTTTTGTATTACAGTAGAGCTGGGGTTTTGCCATGTTGGCCAGGCTGGTCTGGAACTCCTGACCTCAGATGATCTGTCCGCCTCAGCCTCCCAAAGTGCTGGGGGATTACAGGTGTGAACCACCATGCCCGGTCACAAGGTTTTCTTTTGGAGTGATGAAATGTTTTGAAACAAGAGGGGCGTGGTGGGTGCACAACCCTGAGAATGTACTAAATGCCAATGAATTTTTCACTTTAAAATGATTCTATTATGTGAATTTCACCATAACAAAAAAATACATATTTAATATTAAATAACAGAGAATGAGAGATGTACTACCAAGAAATCCCCAATGAGTGTTCTCTTTAACTTTCACTCCGGATCCCGGGACACCACAAGCAGATCAGAGTTACGGAGTGTGTCCAATCAAGGAACTCATTTCCTTTCTGCTTAGGGAATTATATTCCCTTGTTAGTCTGGGTGAGACAGACACCACAGTAAAGAGGGTCAGAAAGAGTGTCAAGCCACAGGGACACACACAGCACACCGGGGGTTTTTAACCGCTTCAAGCCATGAATAAAAGACAACTCACCCGCACGATGATGCCCATGCGCTTGCTTTCATAGGTGAAAGGGAAGATCTGCAGAATGGTGAAGTTCAGGATCTGGTCGCCAGGGGTCCTCAGCTGCATGGAAGACTGGTCCCGGCCCACCAGGGTTAAGCCCACACTTTCAGTCCACTGTACCAGGGCCACCTAAACATAACACAGGGTTGAGGGTCAGATGCACAGCAGAGAACCTGGGTTTGCAGGCTGTACCATGAACACAAAGGCGGAAGGGGCTCGGAGACAGGGGAATCACAGCAGTTACTGCCCTTGGGGGCACCCAGTGCTCTCTGCTGGCTGGTGACAGTGTCTGTTCCTCTGGGCCTGCGAGGGCTCCCACGCTGAAAGCTGCCCTTCTGTAAGGCACAATTCATCTTTTCTAGGCTCAAAGCAGGCTGCATACCAGAGGCACCGAAGAAGGAGATGGCACAGGGTTAAGAGTGATTGGCAGCCCCACCCGCGCAGTGCTTTAGGCCTATAATCCCAGCACTTGGGGAGGCCGAAGCAGGAGGATCACGTGAGTCCAGGAGTTTGAGAGAAGCCTAGGTAACACAGGGAGACCCTGTCTCTAAAATCTTTTTTTTTTTTAATTATTAGGGTGGTGGCTCATGCCTGTAATCCCAGCACTTTGGGAGGCTGATGTGGGCAGATCACCCGAGGTCAGGAGTTTAAAACCAGCCTGGCCAACATGGTGAAACCCCATCTCTACTAAAAATACAAAAATTAGCCAGGTGTGGTGGCAGGCTCCTATAATCCCGGCTACTTAGAAGGCTGAGGTAGGAGAATTGCTTGAACCCGGAAGGTAGAGGTTGCAGTGAGTAGAGATCATCATGCCACCGCACTCCAGCCTGGGTGACAGAGCGAGACTGCATCTCAAAAAATAGTAACAATTATTAGGGTGGGGTGGTGCACGCCTGTTGTCTCAATTGCTCAAGAGGTTGAGGTGGGAGGATCGCTTGATCCTGGGAGGTGGAGGCTACAGTCTGCCATGACAGCGCCACAGTACTCCCACCTGGACAGCACAGTAAGACCCTGTCTCAAAAAAACATAATAAAATAAATGTAAGCAACTAATTCTCAGGGTCGAAAAGCTCATGAAGAAAATAAAACATGTCTGCAGATGGAGCTAGCCTAGGGTCTCCAGGAATACAAATGAAACAGGCGTGGGAAAGGGAAGGCAAGATGGGGAAAGGAGAAGCAGGGAGGAGTCGGGGACCCCATTCCTGGTTGCCCTTCATCCCTGCAGCCACAGGAGGATGGCCTTGGTGGGGTTGGGGGGTGCAAACAGTGTGAAGGGCCTGCATGTGCCCGCCGAGCTAGATGACAGGCTCATCGTGCTTACTCCCAGAATAGCAGGGGCTGGGTGAGCTGCTCTCGGCTGGCAGCTGCGACAGGCTGGGGCAGGATCTGGTCCCAGGTCTAGCTGACGTCAGTAAGAGGCCCAGAGTACAGTGCCATCCCAGTTCATCAGATGTCCCTTCTCAAATCACAGGGGCCTAAGTCAGGGTACTTGCACATGGGCACATCCTCAGTGGGAGGCCACCCCAACACACTATCACCCATTACAAAGTTGACAGGTGGGCTGGGCGTGGTCGCTCACACCTGCAATCCCAGCACTTTGGGAGGCCAAGGTGGGTGGATCACAAGATCAAGAGACCATTCTGGCCAACATGGTAAAACCCCATCTCTACTTTAAAAAAATACAAAAATTAGCTGGGTGTAGTGGTGCATGCCTGCAGTCCCAGTTACTGGGAAGCTGAGGCCAGAGAATCACTTGAACCTGGGAGGCAGCAGAGGTTGCAGTGAGCCAAGAGCGCATCACTGCACTTCAGCCTGGTGATAAAGCGAGACCTCATCTCAAAAAAAAAAAAGAAAAAAAAGTTGAAGGGAGGTGTGGCAGACAGAATAATGGCTCCCAAAGAGGCCCGTGTCCTAATCCCCAGAACCGGAGAGTGTTACCTGACATGGCAAAAGGACCTCAGCAGAAGGGATTCAGTGTAAGGACCTTAAAATGGGGAGCTTATCCCAGACCACCCAGATGGGCCCAGTGAGCCACATGAGTCCTCAAAAGGGACCCACTCCTGGTTGTGACCAGAGAGACTCAGGAACAGAAGAAGGGTTGGAGAGATGTGGTGATGCAGACTTTGAGGATGAAGGAAGGAGCCATATACCAAAGAATGCGGGCAGCATCTAGGGGCTGGAAAGGGCAACGCAACAGATTCTTCCCTAAAGACTCAGCAACAACGCAGCAATGGTGCTCAAGCGACCTCGATCTTGTCTCAGTGAGACCCTTGTCCCGTGTTCACCCATGATCTATAGAAATGTAAAAAAAAAAATCTATTTGTTTCATTTTAAAATAGATGGTGGCCAGGTGCAGTGGCTCAAGCCTGTAATCCCAGCACTTTGGAGGCTGAGGCGGGCAGATCACTTGAGATCAGGAGTTCGAGACCAGCCTGGACAACATGGTGAAATCCCATCTCTACTAAAATTACAAAAATTAGCCAGGCTTGGAAGCGGGCACCTGTAATCCCAGCTACTTGGGAGGCTGACGCAGGAGAATTGTGTAAACCCGGGAGGCGGAGGTTGCAATGAACTGAGATCGCACCAACGCACTCCAGCCTGGGCGACAGTGACTCCATTACAAAACAAAACAAAACAAAAAACACAAATGCACAGTAATTTGGTACAGCAACAACAGAAAGGAATACAGAAGGGCTTCCAATTTCAATACCAAACAAGCTGTCACTCTATTCCCATCCAAGTCCAAAGGTACAGTATCTACAAAAAAGATCAAGAAAGAAGAAAAGGCAGACCCTCCCACTTTCTTCTCATAAAGCTTAATCTGTAGGGGGAGAAGGGGAGGCAGGTTTTAGGAGGCTGTTGACAGGGGCTACGCATAGGTGACGGGGAGAGGGGTACTCGGGGGGCGCCACCTCCACTGGAAGTATTTGGTTATCTTTAAACCCAGCGGTGGGTGGGTCTAACTTTCCGCAGGCCTGAAATAGTTGATGATAATTGCTTGTTCACTGAGGATGGTGGAAGGTAAAGTCCATTTTCAGGGACTCCTTTAGTAGCCCAGCTGCCTCTTGCACATCTGTTTAATCTGGATTCCTGCCGGGCACAACTGCTCACACCTATAATCCTAGCACTTTGGCACACTGAGGTGGAGGATCGTTTGAGCCCAGGAGTTCAAGACCAGCCTGGGAGGGAGACCTCATCCCTACAAAAAATTAGCCAAGCATGGTGGCATGCACCTGTAATCCCAGCTACTTGAGAGGCTGCGATGGGAAGACAGATTGAGCCTGGGAGGCAGAGGCTACAGGAAGCTGAGACCATGCCACTGCACTCTAGCCTGGCTGACAGTGAGACTCAGTCTCAAAACAAACAAAAAAAAACTGGGCTTCCTCTTGAGTTCCTGTTCCTTTTATCAAGAGAGCGCTACAAAAGCCACAAGGTGAAGGTATGCAGCTCTCCACCCGCCGTCCTTTCTCTCTCTGGAACCCCTGGACGTCATCTTGGCTGACCTGTTATACCCTGAAAAGGAAATCAAGTTGGAGCTCAAAACTGAGGTTCTGGTCCCCGCTCTGCCACCAGCCTCCAGCCCCCATAGGACTCTGAAAAATAAAGATCTTGAAATAGATGACTCTCTCTCATTCCACTCCAGCTCTGAAAATGTATCTTTAGGCATCCTTCATCCACCATGCTCTGCTATCGAATTCAGTTTCCGTTGCTTCTATTAACTACATTTACATTAGCAAGAAATTATTTTTCAAGGCTCTACCTTGTTTAAATTCAAGTCATAATGAGTCAGCCAGCACTCGCTAGCTTTGAGCTTTGACCAGTGGAAGAAACTGTCATACTGACCTCTACCTTTCAAACAAAGGACAGATCAAGTAGTGGGATTTTTGTTTGTTTTTTAGTTTCAGTTTTTGGCTACCAGCCTAAGTCTTTGAAAACTCATTCACTTAGTTATTTAATTGAATGGCTGTGCTACAGACAATGTTTATGTTCCCTAAAATTTGTGTGTTGATACCTAATCCCCAATGTGATAGCAGTTGGAGATGGGCCTTTGAGAGGTGATTAAGTCATGGGGGTGGGGCTCCTCAGGAGTGGATAAGTGCCTTTATAAAACAGACCCCAGAGAGCTCTCTCACTCCTGCCATGACGAAGAGAGTGAAAAGAGGGCCTTTTATGAGCCAGGAAGCAGGCCCTCGCCAGACACCAAATCTGCCAGTATGCTGATACAGGACTCCCAGCCTCCAGAACTAGGAGAAATAACTTCTGTTGTTTACAAGATACTCAACTGACAGTATTTAGTTATATAGCAACCCATGCAGACTAAGACGCTCTAACTTTCAATACAGCCCTGTTGTGTCTGCTAACAATTTTCTTCCAAAGTTTAAAATTAACAAGTCAGTAATGATTCGAATGTATAAAATCATCCTGGATGGGTGTGACAGCTCATGCCTGTAATCTCAGCACTGTGGGAGGCCAAGGCAAAAGGATCACCTGAGTTCACCAGTTCAGCCTGGCCTACATGGTGAAATCCCATCTCTACAAAAATACAAGCATTAGTTGGGCATGATGGTGGGTGCCTGTAATCCCAGCTACTTGGGAGGCTGAGACAGGAGAATCACTTGAACCCCAAAGTCAGAGGTTACAGTCAGCTGAGATGGCAGCATTGCTCTCCAGCATGGGCAACAGAGCTAGACTCCGCCTCAAAAAAAAAGAAAAAGAAAATAAAAGAAAAAAAATCCCATCTGTCTATGTAAAAAAGCTTGGGTGCAGTGTAAAAATGTTTATAGAGTGATACACATGGCGAGAATTACTTCTAGCTTTTACTTCTAGCTTTCTATACCACTGAAATGTTTTACACATGTAAATGCATTTCTTTCATGTTTAATTTTAATTAAGTAAATAAATATCCCAATACAATTCACATATTACAAATACCTTTTTGGCCTTGTTTACAAGCCAAAAAGCCTGACTAAATTTACACCCTTCCATATATACCCATTTAGTAACAAAGTAAAAAAAAAAATTATTCTTCAGATGCTTTCAGACACTTATGGAAATGATTTCTTTACTCCTGTTCTTGAGCAGCTATTACTGTGCACATTAATTGCCCTGAAAAGATGTGAAAAGTCTGTG